TACATACATACATACACATACACACACACACACACACACACATACATACATATAAAAGAATTGTTTTATTTAACTTACTTAATTATTTAATTAATTCAAATTTGACCTGAGAGGGACAGAGCAAGAGAGAGAAAGCAAGATAGCAAGCCACCAGGTCCAGGACTTGAACTATGGTTGGCCATGTGGGAGTGCAGCTCCCTTAACCACCATGCCACTCACTGACACCCCCCCCCCAGGAGATATATTTTAAATTACTGAATTATATTCATCAACTAATGAAGTACATTTCCCACTTACCTTTAGGTTTCTATTAATTAACTATTTATAACCTCCAGTCCCTTGGCAGTGGCTGAATTGGGAAAAGACATGAGTGATGTGAGGTGAAGGTGTCCCCTTCATAGCTCATGGTCTTAAAATTATTTTCACTGCCCATTATGCCCCACTATAAGTGGTGTAGATGCATTCAAAAGAGACCCTTTGACTGCATCAAATCAATTGGGGGCCTAAAAAAGAGACAGAAAAGTGTTGGCTGCATGTGAAAACTTTCCGTAAGACCGCATTTATGGCAGCACTGAAGCTGGGGCATGCGAGCCAGACTGCGTGAGCAAGGCTCAAGAAACACAGTCAAGAAAGCGAAATCTGAGACTGGGAACGGCTAAGGCGAACATAAAAGCTTTTTTTTTTCCAGTTTGCTACAGGGTACATGAACTCCCCAGAGGGAGACAGACCGCAAGGGAGGGGGCAGTGAGAAATCGCCCCCAAGGGGGAATGGCCACACTGCAATCCCTTCTCCATCCTCCTCTAGGGATGTTGGGCACACACGCACATGCGCCTGCCATGTTTTTCAAGCCTCCAGGTCCGCGACTTGAACTGCACAGTCAGCCATATGGGATCCAGCTGCCTGGCCCAAAATAATATGTTAAAGCAAGACCGGAGCAAGGAGAGGGGCAAGGAAAAGCTGTTCCTCATCTCCTGACCTGCAGAATGGAGAGATAACATTGTCTCTCAGAGGTGTCTGTGATAACTGAATGTAATGACTGATGGTCTCCTTCATCAGCCCCCACACAGTAAAGGACAGTCTCCTTCCATTCTACTGTGGCTATGGGAATTTATTTTCAGTTACCTTAGATTATTCATGCTGTTATCAGGATCGTAATCAAATCCTTCCCAACAATTATAGTAGTGAACAATATTTACGTGCTCAAGCCTTGCCAACGCCGTTACTTCACGCTTCACTTTACTGGTTAAAGGAAACAGAAACATGACATGTCAGTATACGTCTCTGATAAATACAGAACACCTCAAATAACTCTCCGTTCTCTTGGTAAACAATTTCCGTTGTTCTCACATTGAGTTTTAGAATAGAAGCCACAAGGGCTCAAAGGAAAAAGTGAATAAACAGGAAAAAAAAATAGTTGTCCTCACTCTCAACATAAAATTATTGAAACTTCAATAATTTCAAATATCGAACCATTTAGAAGTCCTAAGTGTTTTGTTTTTGTTTTTGTTTTTGAGAGATTTTTGCTAAAGGGTACGTGCGCTTGTCAGAAAGACAGAGAGAAACAGAGGGATAGACAGTGATAAATCATCCCCCAGGGGGGATGGCCATGCTGCAATCTCTTCTCCTCCATTCTCCTCTCAGGAACTTGGGCACGCACGCACACGCGCCCAGCGTGAGTTTAAGCCACCAGGTCCGGGACTCAAACCACGGTCAACTACATGGGAGTCCAGCGACATAGCCATTACGCCAACTGCTGGTTCCTATAACACACTATCTTTACAGTTACATTTGTTGTAACACAATCTCTAGTAAATCATTTATAAACTTTTTAATGTAAAATTTCAAAAACATAAAAAAGGAAACCAAATGGTGTAATGAACTCCAATATTGCCATCACCTGATGAGACCATTATCGGCCCCTGGCCAATCTTGTTTCATCTAAACTCTTACTTCCTCATCCTCCTTGGGATTACTGGGTTCTTGGAAAAGTCATGACATAGTTTTCTATGCAAAAATATGTCCTAACTTTCTGATGAGCTAATATTTTGAAGCAACTTCCAGCAACAGATCATTTCTTCATAACTCTTTCAGTATATGTCCCACATTTGTAATGACTGCCAAATAGCCATTGATTAGGGGAGAGAAGAAAACACATTTGATCATGTCTTTATTGCTAAATATCTTGTTTGTTCTAACTTTTCACTGTTATAAATGACACTGCAGGGCCAGCTGGTCGTAGGGCAGAAGGGACTGCAACATGGCCCTCCCCTCTGGGGGGGGTGATTTCTCACATTCCCTCTCACTGTCTCTGTCTCTCTCTGGCTAGTGCACATGCCTTAAGGCAAAAACCTTTCAAAAAGTTATAATAGATAAAGTTAAATAAGTGTTTTAAAACTAATTCAAGGAGCCAGCAGGCAGCATGGTGGTTAGGGGCTCTCAACTCCCACATGGCCGACCATGGTTCCAATTCCAGACCAGGTGGCTTGCTTTCTCACTTTCCCTCTCTCTCTGCCTGTCTCTTTCTGATCAAACTGGAAAATAATAATAATAATAGTAATAATAATAATAAATAATGTTAAATAAAGTAATTCTTTTAAAAATTTCAAAATATATTTTTAAACATGTTTTACCAATTTACAAGCCACTCAAAATGTCCAAAACATGGTATGCTAATCAACATTATTACCATTTTAAAAAATTACTATCGAATGAAACAAATACAGTACTTCATTTCTGTTCATTAAAATGATAAAGAAATGAAAAGCCTTGTTTTGGTGACAAGTAGGTATTTCAAACGCAAGGCATTATCCATGGGACAGGACAGAGGTGTGTTGGACTGGGCTGAGAAGCACCTAAAACATCAAACCTGCTTCTTCCTTCTCACGCCACTTTCCTTAGTCCAGACCCCTTTCTGGCTCCTTCTCTAGTCCTTAAGGGATCAGTCTAGCCAGGTTACACCTAGTAACACTTGCTAGAGCACAACAAACAAAACTGGTGAACTGGTGAACATATGATTTAAAACTTTTCTATGGGACCAGTAGATGGTATAGTGGTTATGCCGCTGGACTCCTACATGGTCGACTGCAGTTCAAGTTCTGGACCTGGTGGCTTGAAAATCATGCCAGGCATTGGAGACTAGCAGGTGCCTTGGTTATTAAGACATGCTGGTCCTGCCCTCACCCAATGGCCAACTGTAGTTCAAGTCTTGGACCTGGCAGCTTGCTATCTCACTTTCTCTCTCTCTCTCTCTGGTCAAATTAAAAAATAATAATAATGATGGTGAATGAAATTAAATTTTTTTTAAAAAGAAAAGAAAATCATGTCGGGCACATATGTGTGCTTCACTCCTGGGAGGAGAATGGAGAAGAAAGGATTGAGGAGTGACCATGCCCTATGAGAGGGTGATTTCTCACCTTCCCTCGAACTGTCTCTGTCTCTCTCTGGCGAGTACATGCACCTTAAGGAAAAAATAGAAAAAGAACCTCTAAAATAAATAAATAAATAACCTTCCAATGTGTTTTCCTTCCTGAAAGAGTTCTGTCATCCATCAAGGGGTGGAGGGGAGGGTAGATAATACATAAACCAGACATAGGGAACACAGCAGGCTGGCATTCCAGAGGAGAGTTCTAAACACCACTCGGTTGTACAGGGTACAGTGTCCACGAAAAAGTGGCCAAAGACAGTTGCCCTTAATTCCTTCCCTTCCCATACATATATCCACTCCTCAAATTAAGAGAGTCTATTTTCTCCTCTCGGGATTCTGGGTATGTACACATGCCTGAACCCAGGTCCAAGACTCAAGCTGTGAAGTTGGCCACGTGGGATCCAGCACCTTAACTACTACATCACGGGCTGCACCCACCACTGGCTTTTGTTTGTTTGTTTGTTTTTTAAGAGCTTTTTGCCTTAGGGTGCAACCCCTGGAGGGATGGCCATATGGCAATCCCTTCTCCATTCTCCTCCCAGGCTCCTGGACACATGTGCACACACGTGCACTCCCGGTGTGATTCTTAATCCACCAGGTCTGGGACTCGAACCGCAGTTAGCTATATGGGAGTCCAGTCATGTAACCGCTGCACCATCTGCTGGTCCCTGACTGTTCATTTGTTCTTAAACCAGTTCATTTTGGAGCAATGTATTACTCAATATAGACAACCAGAACAATTACCAACTAGTGTTTATCTTAAACAAATCAGTTCACATCTCTGGATCTCATTCTCCTCTTCTGTAAAATCAGGAGCTAGACCATAGAATCTCAGACATTATCTTCAACCAAATGGTTCTATAGCTTCAGGTTTCAAGACACCTTCAAACTTTTTTTTTGGTTTTTGCTATAGGGCATGTGAGCTCACCAGAAAGACAGAAAGAGAGACAGAGAGACAGAAAGTGGGAAATCATCCCCCAGAGGGGATGGCCACGCAGCAATCCCTTCTCCTCCATTCTCCTCTTGGGATCTTGGGCACACACGCACACACACACACACACACATGCCCGGTGTGAGTTTAAGTGGCCGGGTCTGAGTCTCGAATTGCGGTTGACTACATGGGAGTCCAGCAACATAGGCATTATGCCAACTGCTGGTCCCTCAAGACACCTTCAAAAAAAGGAGCAATGGTATATATATTTTTAAAGAATTATTGTATTTAACTTTATTGTTATTATTTTAATTTACTAGAGAGAGATAGAGAAAGAGAAAATTGGTGAACTGGTGAACATGTGATTTAAGCCTTTCTGTGGGACCGGCAGATGGCGCAGTGGTTATGTCACTGGACTACGGTCGGCCATGTGGGAGGCCAGCACCTTTAACCACTATGCCACCTGCCAGCCCCATTTTTATAGAATTAATCACAATAAAGTGAGAGTAAGCCAAGTTCCTCTTGGTAGAAATAAATGTTCGAGGAGGACCACAAGGAAGTAAATGATATGCTAATGAAGAAGACAGAAACATAAAAAAGAAATGTTGCAGGTTCAATACTCCCTCAAAGAAAAAACATTTACTACTTACTCGTTATTATATTTAACGCGTTTAATAACATAAGTCTTTCCGTCGATTCTATGTTTTGCTTTGAAAACATGGCCAAATCCACCACTGCCAATGTGTTCTATTTCTTGAAAATCTGTGGTAAACCTTAAAGATAAATATCACTGTTATTCTGAGGTTCAGTGTTCAACCTCTTCCTTCTACCCGCCCCTTCCCCGTCAGGTCACTTGTGAAATAGATCGTACAGCAAATGCGATTCTCTTTCTGAATAAGTAAAGGTCCGCTTTGCAGAAATTCTTGATTCAGAAAACTAAGTCTCTCCCTTTCTTTTTCTTCCTTTCTTTTTTTTCTTTTTTAGAGATTTTTTGCTATTGGGTGCCAGCGCTCACCAGGGAGACAGACAGAAAGCAAAAAATCACCCCTCCAGGGGGGATGGCCACATCGCAATCTCTTCTCCATTCTCCTCTCGGGATTTTGGGCACGCATGCACAGGTGCTCGGTGTGAGTTTTAAGCCACCAGGTCCAGGACTCAAACTGCAGTCAACTATGTGAGAGTCCAGCAATGTAACCATTATGCCATCTGCTGGTCTCCAAGGTCCCTCCCTTTCTTCTTCCCACAGAGAGTCCAACATCACCCCTGTGAGTCAGTCAACTCCTGGCTATACACAGACCATGACAGGGAATCTTGTCATGAGTATAAAACTTGAGAAAGAATCGCTGTACTGTGTGTCCCACAGCCACACCGAGCTGCGAGGGGAATCAGCCTATGTTCCAGCCTGCCCAAGCTGAAACCGACCTGCTTATCTCCTCTCGTTCCTGTCCCACAAGCCATCATGAAGCCCCACCAGTTCTACTTACAAATTCCACCACTGGCATCTGCCCACTTATTCTCCAACTCCAGCAGCTTTGTCCCAGTCCACACTTCCATCAGGCTCCTTTGGGACCTGGCTACCTGACAGCCCACTTCCTCTGCTGCCTACAAACGAATCTATGATCCACTAAGCAACCAGAGTGATGAAAACCTAGTCTGGTCATATCTCCCTATTGCCTAAACCCTCTAATAACTTACTTTGCATTCAGCAAAAACCAGAAAGCCTTTAAATGGCCTAAAAGGTGCCACGTAACGTGACTCCTGCCTCCTGTTCAGCCCCCTCTCGTGGCGTTGTTTCCGTGCACATGGCCGCTGTCTCCTTCTCGAACACCTGCATCATCTTTCCACCTCTTCTTTCCCACACGCTCCTCCTTTCACCTGGAACAGAGCCTCCTGCCTCTCTGTGCTAACGCATCCTTCAGGCCTCCCACAAATGTGACCTCAGAGAAACTTGCCTCACCCCTCACTCTAAATCCAAGCGTTCAGTTTCCACTTCTCTCCATGCCACTGCTTGTGAGTCAGAGCTCTGGCCACAGTTAAGAATTACAGACATTTTTTATGTAATCGTGTATTTAATGGTGGTCATTCCCACAAAACTCCCTGACAGCAAGAACTGCTTCTATTCGTTCCTACTGTAAACCCCATGCTCAGCTCAGAGCCAGGTATATATTCGGTGCTTAATAAATAGTTGATATTTTAGTATTTAAAAAAAAAACAAAACAACTTGATTGTTGGGAACCAGCAGTTAGCATAATGGCTATGTCGCTGGACTCCCACGTAGTCCACCGCGGTTCGTGTCCCAGACCCGGTGGCTTAAAACTCACGCCGGGCACATGTGCGTGCGTGCCCAAGATCCCGAGAGGAGAATGGAGAAGGGATTGCGGCGTGACCATCCCCCCTCGGGGGTGATTTTTCGCTTTCTGTCTCTATGTCTCTCTCTGTCTGGCGAGCGCACACGCCCTGTAGCAAAAACCTCTAAAAACAAAAACAAAAACAAACAAAAACTTGATTGTAATGTCTCCTTTCTGTTTTAGATACTTCATTTAAACCCAAACACATTGTCTGTAGGAGAAGAGTCCTTTTTTCATGTGAAATATGGTTGGAGCCAAAACACAGAAAACAGATTTAAGTAGATCTATTCTGATCCCTGCAGGGGACCAGTACTTTTTTGGAAAAATCACGGATTTATGGGAGTATTTCTTTTCAGGATTAAAAAAACTTCCATAGATATGGGGCCAGTAGAGTGGCATGGTAGTTGGGGCACTGGACTCTCACATGGCTGACTACAGTTCAAGTCCCAGACCTGCCAGCTTGAAAAATCACACCAGGTACAAGTGCATGTATGCCTGAAATCCCAAGAGGAGATGGAGCACGGATTGCAGCATGACCATCTCCCCCAGGTGGTGATTTCTCACTTTTGCTCTAGAGCTCTGTCTCTCTTTAGGGAGCACATGTGCCCTATAGCAAAAAATATTAAAAAAAGAAATTCCATAGATGTCAAAGATATTCGTGTAAAAGACCTATATTTACCATATTCCATGTGGACTCATCTAACCTTAACTTCTCTAAGAGACTATGATCTTTGGAGGGCCTGACTATGCCCCAGCAACTACACCGTCCAGGTGGAAATATAATTTAATCCATCCCATGTATAACAGGCCCTTAGGAAACTTCTGGCAAATGAACAAATTCTGTTGCATAGCTCCGTCTTACCTGGGGTCTACAGTGAGCCTGTATCTTTCTTTCTGTGGATGGTCAAATGTAGGCGCCAAATGTCTAAAAAGCAAGAGAAGACTATAAAACTCAAGTAAAACCAGGAACCAGCAGTTAGCGTAATGGCTATGTCACTGGACTCCCACGTAGTTGACCGTGGTTCGCGTCCCGGACCTAGTGGCTTAAAACTCACGCCGGGTGTGTGTGCGTGTGTGTGCCCGTGCCCAAGATTCCAAAAGGAGAATGGAGGAGAAGGGATTGCAGCGTGACCATCCCCCCTGGGGGGTGATTTCTCACTTTCTGTCTCTCTGTCGCTCTCTGTCTGTCTGGCGAGCACACGCGCCCTATAGTGAAAATTTCTCAAAAAAAAAAAAAAAAAGAAAAGAAAGAAAAAACAAAAATAAAAAAAAGAAAAGAGAGAAAAACTCAAGTAAAACCAAAATCAAATATAACCTGGTTGGGAACCAGCAGTTAGTGTAATGGCTATGTCGCTGGACTCCCACGTAGTCCACCGCGGTTCGCGTCCCAGACCCGTGGCTTAAAACTCACGCCAGGCACGTGTGCGTGCATGCCCAAGATCCCAAGAGGAGAATAGAGTATATATAAATATATATATATAAATATATATAACCTGGTTAGTATAGGTTTTATGCCTTATACTAAGCTTTTTCTTCTTTTTGTTTGTTTGAGAGATTTTTGCACATGTGCTCGCCAGAGAGACACAGACAGACAGAGAGACAGAAAGCAAGAAATCACCCCAGGGCAGGGGGGAGCAATGGCCACGCCACAATCCCTTCTCCTTTATTTTCCTCTCGGGATTTTGGGTACGCATGCACATGTACCTGGTGTGAGATTCAAGCCGCTGGGTCTGAGTTAACCATATTTAATTACAGTTAACTACGTGGGAGTCCAATGACGTAACTATTACTCCGTCTGCTGGTCCCAGCTTTTTTATTCTTTTTAAAAAATTTTTCCCACCAGAGAGAGAGATAGAGGGAGAGGGAGATAGCACACCTCTCCCCTCCCCCCCAATAGGGCCTAGTCATGCCACAATTGCTTCTCCTCCATTTCTCTCTGCTGTCAGGATTTTGGGCATGCATACACATGTGCCAGGGATGGCGGTGTTTTTTTTTTTTAAAGAATTATTTTACTTAATTTTATTTATTTATTTACTTATTTTAATTTGACCAGAGAGAGACAGAGGAGAGAGAGCGAGAGAAAGAGAAAAAGAGAGAGAGAAAAAAAGAGAGAGGGAGAGAGAGAGAGAGAAAGAGAGAGAGAAACTGAGAGAGCAAGTCGCCAGGTCTGAGACTTGACAGTCCACGTGGGAGTTCAGCGCCCTTAGCCATAAGCCACCTGCTGGGTCCCAGGTGTGTGTTTTAAACCCCAATCTAAGATTCAAACTGCACGGTCAGCCGCAAGCAATCTGGCCCCTTTACCAGCAGGCCACAGAGCTGGCCCATGCTTTTTTTTTTTTTTTTTTTTTTTTTTTTTTTCTTACAGAGACAGAGAGGGAAAGTGAGAAATGACTCCCCAGGGGGATGGCCATGCTCTAGTTCCTTCTCCTCCATGCTCCTCTCAGGATTTGGGGCACACATGCACGTGTGCCTGGTGTGATTTCCAAACTGCTGGGTCCAGGACTTGAGCTACAGGGTTGGCCATGTGGGATCCGATGCCTTAACCATGCCGCCTGCTGGCCTTGACCCATGCTTTTTATTTGAGATGATTAGAATAATTAGAATAATAGATTCGCAAGTGTTAACCTTTCCCTTTATAAAACTACAGACTTCTAGTTCTCCTCTGTCTTCCAGTAATCTTTCATCCCTTTCCTGATTCCTTTTTTCACTTGAACCCATTCACTGTTGGCATGCCACTAGCCTCTCTTTTCATCCTCTAGACTCAAAACCTCAGGAAGTACTTCTTATGAACCCATTCTGGCAGTTATTCGTTATTGGTGATACATCACCTGCAACCGAAGTTCAAATGCAACCTGAAACTCAACATCCTCGGAACCAGCAGTTAGCGTAATGGCTATGTCGCTGGACTCCCACGTAGTCGACCGCGGTTCGTGTCCCGGACCCGGTGGCTTAAAACTCACGCCGGGCGCGTGTGCTTGCGTGCCCAAGATCCCGAGAGGAGAATGGAAGAGAAGGGATTGCGGCGTGACCATCCCCCCTGGGGGGTGATTTCCTGCTTTCTGTCTCTATGTCTCTCTCTGTCTGTCTGGCGAGCGCACGTGCCCTATAGCAAAAACCTCTCAAAAAAAAAAAAAAAAAAACTCAAAATCCCCCAAGTGCTATCTTTTCTCTAAACTCCCAAGGGTTCAACAAAAAAAAAAAAAAAAAAAAAAAAAAAAAAAGAACTCAACATCCTCCAAGTGCTATCTTCTCTCTAAACTCCCAAGGGTTCAACTTAATACCAGCACCGTCATGATTCTTGTCTGGGTCCCATCCAAAACGGAGCAATCTGCGAATCCTCTCTCCTGTACCTCCTCTTCACCCTCTCACACAACTACTGTAGCTTTATTTCCTCAAGCCGTGTCTACTCTTCCTCTATGGTCTTCCACACGAATTCTCGCTACCCGTCCTCACTGCCATGATAACCATGGCTGAGGCCCTAATCATCTCACACGCAGACCTGACTTCTCTCCACCCAAACATCACGACAGGAAGCATCTTTCTTCAACACATATATCTACTGTTCAGAATTAAAGAGGTCTTCAAAAAGTGAATAGAAAAGATGTAGCACAACAAAACAAAACAAAACTGAGGGCTGGCCCTATGCCTAATGGTTTGGAGAGTCAGATCCCACATGGCCAACTAGGGTTTGAATTCCAGTCTGAAGACTTGAAAAATAAACCAGGTTCATGTGCACGTGTTCCTCAAATCCCAACAGAATAAAGAAATGGAGGAGGGATTGCAGCATGGCCATGCCCATTGGGAGGATGCCTTCTCCTCTCCATCCCATCCCGCTGTCTCCCTATCTTTCTCGGGCAAGCACATTCACCCTCTGGCAACTAAAAAAAAAAAGAATCTGGAACCAGCAGATGGTGTAGTATTTACATCACTGGACTCCTATATGGCTGACCATGGTTAGAGTCCTGGATCCAATGGCTTGAAAATCACACCAGGTGCATGTGTGTGTGTGCCCGAAATCTTTTAAGGAGAATGGAGGAGAAGGGATTGCAGTGTGGCCATCCCCCTGGGGGGTGATTTCTCACTTTCGGTTTCTCTATCTTTCTCTCTCTCTCTCTCTAGTGAGTACACGTGCCCTATAGCAAAAATCTCTCTAAAAAAAAATTAAGAAAGAAAAGAAACTGTATGCATTTCAAATTTTTGCACCAAAATAAACTCTTATTAATCTTCACTTTCCATAAACTTTCTTTTCTGATTGCCAGAGGGTGCATGCACTAGCCAGAGAAAGGCAGAGAGGAAGAGGAAAAAGACATTCCCTAATGGGGCATGGTCACACCACAGTCCCTTCTCCATTTCTTTACCTGCTATGATTTGGGCATGAACACGTGCACATGTGCCCAGCATAGTGTTTTTTTTGTTTGTTTGTTTTGTTTTTTTAAGGTTTTTGCTATAGGGTGCATGTGCCTGCCAGAGAGAAACAAAGAAAGACAATGAGAGAAAAAGTGTGAAATCCCGCCCCCCCCAGGGGGGATGGCCATGCTGCAATCCCTTCTCCATTCTCCTCTTGGGATTTTGAGAACACACACACACACACACACACACACACACACTAGTGTGATTTTCAAGCCTCTAGGTCCAGGACTTGAACCTCAGTCAGCCATGGGGGAGTCCAGCCCCTTAACCACCATTCCACTATCACAGCGTATTTTTCAAGCCTCTAGTTGGGATTCGAATCACAGTTGTCCATGTTGGATTGACTCCCTTAACTACTAAGCTACAGGGTCAATCATTCATGAATGTTTGTAGTCTCCTTATATTAATGGCACTTAATGGCTCCTGCAGCCATCACACCTTCATTTCCCAGTGTATTTACACCCTTGATATAAAAGGAAACATGAAGATTTTTCTTTTGAGGTAAAATACATCAATTCACCATAATTTACATAACATTTGAAACATTTGTGTTTCTTTTTTTATATATTTATTTATTTTTAAATATTTATTTAATTCCATTTGTTACTGTTTTAAAATATGACCAGAAAGAGAGAGAAAGGGAAAATGAGAAAGCAAACTACCAGGTCTGGAACTCAAACTATGGTCAGCCATGTGGGAATCCAGCACCCCCACCACCACACTACTTGTCGGCCCCTATTTTTAATTTTTTAAGGAGGTTTTGCTTTAGGGCACATGTGCTTGCTGAAGAGAGAGAGAAAGACAGAGATAGTGAGAAGGAAAGTGAGAAATCACTCCCTCCCCTTAAGAGGATGGCCACTCTGCAATCTCTTATCCTCCATTCTCCTCCAGGAATCTTAGGTATTGCACACATATGATTCTCAAGTCTCTGGGTCCAAGACTTGAACCACAGTCGGCCATATGGGAGTTCAGTGATGTAACTGCTATGTTTTATTATTATTATTTATTATTATTATTAATTTGCTATAGGCACATGTGCTCACCAGAGAAAGACAGACACAGAGAGAGAGAGAAAGAGAGAAAGTAAGCCTCCAGGTCTGAGACTTGAACCGCAGTCAGCTATGTGGAAGTCTAGTGCCGTAACCACCATGTCACTTGCTGGCTCCACTGTGCTTTTTTTAATCTGAGTTATTACATTATTTTTGTCCCATCTACTAGTCTGAAAAGTAATGCACCTCTTTTGAAAACACCTTTCCAAGTTCCCTTCATCATACCCTCTTATTCAAAATAATGCCCTTAACCAAACCACTTGCTCTAGAAATACACTCATGGGGCTTTATGTCTACCATGTAGCATGAGTATATATTTAATGATTTTGCATACATTTAAAATTATTTGTAGGGGCAAGCAGGTGGCATAGTGGTTACATTGCTGGACTCCCACATGGCCAACTGCAGTTTGAATCCTGGACTCGGTGGCCTGAAAATCATGCTAGGCACGTGTGCGTGCGTGCCCAAGATCCCAGGAGGAGAATGGAGGAGAAGGGATTGCAGCATGGTCATGCCCTGTAGGGGGTGATTTCTCACTTTCCCTCTCATGTCTCTGTCTCATTTTCTTTCCAGTGAGTGCACGCGTCCCTAAGGCAAAAACCTCTAAAAAAATTATCTGTAGATGTCATGCTTTCTAATTCTTCTGAAATTTTACTTAAAGAAGGTATAAAATATTTACAAATACTGAAGACAACAAGGCTGGCAGGTGACATTAGTTCAAAATGTTCTGTTCACTGCATGCTACTACTTACCTTGGTGCCGACTTTTTATTATTTCTAAGACCGTTCTATAAGAAAAGGAAAATGGAAAATAGTGTCAGATATTTAATCATCCAGTTTTCCCTCGATCCTTCCTCCTGTACTTCCAGCTGGTTCTATGACAACTTTTTTCTTTTTCTTTCTTTCTTTTTTTTTTTTTTTTTGAGAGAGAGATTTTTTTTTTTTTTTTTTTTTTTAGGTTTTTGCCATAGGTTGCATGTGCTTGTCAGAGAGAGACAGACAGAGACAGTGAGAGGGAAAATGAGAAATCACCCCCGGGAGGATAGCCACCCTGCAATCCCTTCTCCTCCTGGGATGTTGGGCACACAGGCATATGAATCCAGTGTGATTTTCAAGCCGCCAAGTCCAGGACTCTAACCACAGACAGCAACATGGGAGTCCAGCCCTTAATCACTATGACAGCTGCTGGCTCCAACATTTCTCAGTCCATAAGATCTAGAGCCTCAGGGGCTACATGGTGAAACAGTGGTGAAACTTGATGCTCTGTAAGGCCAACCCACATGGGAAGGTTCCAGGTTAGCATCCGGAGACCTTCCTGAGTCTGTTGGGCTCATACATGTCCATGATCCAGGGCTGGCTGGAGGTTGGGGGTAGATCATGGGGTCAAAATTCCATTGGGAGTGTTCTCTCTCTCTCTCTCCCCCTTATGCACTCTTAAGAAATAAATGAACTTAAAAAATTAATAGCATCATCAATTCTTGCTCTCTCACTAAACCTTGTACCAACACCTGGTATTGCAAAACTTAGAGTCACCAATCTTATGAATTTAAAATAGTATCTAAATGCTTTGACTTGTATTTTTCTGATCTTTAGCGAAGTAAAGCATCTTTTTATGCTTGTTGTCCATTGGGTATCTGCTTAATCAATTATTCAGGCACTTTGTACATTTTTCTGCCTAGCTGCATTTTTTTCCTTATCATGTATAGTGCTTTATAAACAGAGTATTTTTGTAGCACTAATCATCACTTTAAAAAGGATCTTTTTTGGGAACCAGGAGTTAGAGTAATGGCTATGTCGCTGGACTCCCACGTAGTCGACCGCGGTTCGTGTCCCAGACCAGGTGGCTTAAAACTCATGCCGGGCGCGTGTGCGTGTGTGCCCAAGATCCCGAGAGGAGAATGGAGGAGAAGGGATTGTGGCGTGGCCATCCCCCCGGGGGTGATTTCTCGCTTTCTCTCTCTCTGTCTCTTTCTGGCAAGTGCACATGCCCTATAGCAAAAACCTCTCAAAAAAAAAAAAAAAAAAAAAAGGCAGCTATTTATTATTTAGCAAGAGCACATGAGATAAAAATATAAAATTATGGTAGAGTACTGGGGATCAATTTTAAATGAGAAACTGCATAGGAAACCGAAATGAAGCAGAAAGCTTGGAGATGAATACTATACCATAGCAGATGAAAAAGAATCGCCCAGACTGCCAATGTTAGGATTTGTTTTTGACGCACTTGCTGGGGAATCATATTTAGATGAACTTTTAGAAGTGCTAGAAGAAAAAGAAGTAACTTAGTTTACAAATTCTGTTTTTATCGGTAATTTCTTTCTTTAATTTCTCCTTAAACTTTTCATATTTCATTGCTGCTCTTTAAGCAGCAATCTGACTATGTTGTTTGATCATACTTACCCTGGGCTTATCACTGAAGAAATATTTCCAGAGTCAATGGACCAAGTAGTAGAAGAACCAGAGGACATCGAGGAGGGTCTCTGAAAGAGAGACTGGCCCGTGGGGCCAGGTGGAGGTGCAGCGGTAATGCAACTGGACCCCTAGGGAAAGGTCTTGGGTTCATGTCCCAGGATCTCCCTGAGTATACTGGGCACGTGTGTATGCGCATGATCGAGGCTGGCTGAGACTCGGGGGTAGATCTCAGTGTGAAGATCCTGTTGAGGTGCCTCCCGTCTCTCCCTCTATCTCTCTGTCCCATGTAAGAAATAAATTAATTAAGTTAAAAAAAAAGGAAGGGGAGCTCTTAGGAAGTTTCACTGCAACCAAATTCCTTTTCTACAGTGGCTCAGTATCTTTGTGATATCACATTTATTTCCCCACATTTGCCAAATCCCCGACCATAAAAAATGATTAAAAAAATACTTTTTTTATACACATTTGATTTGGATTTAAAAGACAACTCTGTGGGATCAGCTGTAATGGTTACATCACTGGACTCCCATGTAATCAAGTGTGGTTCGAGTCCCGGATCTGGTGGCTTGAAACTCATGGTGGGTGCCTGTGCGCATGTGTCCAAAATCCCAAGAGAATGGAGGAGAAAAGATTGCAGTGTGGCCATCCCTCGTGGGGGGTGATTTGTCACTTCTATCTCTCTGTCGCTGTCTCCCTGGCAAGTGCACATGCCCTATAGCAAAAATCTCTCTATTAAAAAAAAGAAGAAGAAGAAAAGAAGAAAAAGACAACTGCATTGCTAGCAGAACTTTTATCCTTCATGGTCCCACAGCTCAGGACTCACTGGCCGGATGCAGAATGAAGTAATCATTTTTCTACGTGATTGGCTGTCTTGGCATTACGTAAACATAGTCTAAGCACAAATCAATTTCAGAGGGTATCTGAAAATAAAAAATTTCTGGATATGGTACCAACACCCCCCCCACACACACACACACACCAATAACGTATAAGAATTAAATCCAAAAGCAGTACGTACCTTTGGATTTTCTTCTGATAATATCCGAAGATACGCACATTTAGCAGCCAACTGTTTTGCCTCCTGTTTTGTAGAACCAGACCCATGTCCATATTCTTTCTGCCCAATTTTGCATTTACAATGAAATCTAGGAGAAATAATGCAGAGTATCCAAATACCAAAATATAAATCCAACTTATGGTTTGAAAAAAAAAAAATCACATTAACAAAGACCTTAAGATGATACTAACTGGGGCCAGCAAGTGTCAAGGTAGTTCAGGTGCTGGACTCTCACACGGGCAATCACTGTTTGAGCTCCAGACCCGGCAGCTTGAAAATAACACCAGGTGCATGTGCATGCATGCCCAGGATCCCGAGAGGAGAATGGAGAAGAAGGGACTGCAGCATGGCTATGTCCCCTGGGGAGTGATTTCTCTCTTTCTCTCTCTCTCTCTCTCTCTCTAGCAAGTGCATGCACCCTATGGCAAAAACCTAAAAAACACTAATTTATTAGGTAGCTTGATTCATATTTGTATAATTTCAACCTTCAGTAAGATGGCTGGCCAATTTGTCTGAATAACCAGGACTGTTTGACATCTCAGCTTGCATTTTCCAGGCGACTTGCCTCTTTATTGCTTCCTTGAAAGATACGGTACAAAAGTACTAATGTAGTCATGGTGACTTTTATTTTTATTCTTATTTTTAGTTCCCAAAAGGTAGAAAGGCATGGAGGCAGAGAAGAAACAGAGTGATTCACTGAGTTTTTCAGAGATATTTACCTGGGCAAGAAAAAGCCAGTAGAGGAATGGGGCTTCTGTGAAGTTACAGTGCAATGGCTTTTTTTTTTTTTTTTAATTGCCAGAGGAAATGTATGTACTTGCAAGAGAGAGAGAGAGAGAGGAGAGAGAGAAACAGAGGGAGAGAGAGGGAGAAAGCACCCCCCATGGGGCGTGGTCACAACGTTTTCCATTTCTCTATCCTGTTGGGATGTGGGGCGTGTATGCACATGTGCTTGGCAGTGTTGTTCAAATCACTGGGGCGGAGATTCAAACAGCAGTGGGTCATGAGGGACCCAGTTTCCTTTAACTCCTAGGCTATGGGACAGGCCCTAGTGCCACAGCCTTTACAGGGGATGAGCAAAGCTTGGAATTGGCTCTAACTTCAGCATTTTCTGCCACCTGCTCATGTACACAAAATCCTAAGAAAATCCCCACAGCATAGATTCTCCACACTGACGTCCATACTTTCCTTATATTAGACATAAGGACATGTGTGGTGAGGCAAGGATACTTAGACAATTACTTAAGAATTATGGTTTATTTTTTTTCTTTTTGGAGAGATTTTTGTTAAAGAGAAAATGAGAAATCACTCCCCACAGGTGATGGCCACACTGCAATCCCTTCTCTTCCAATCTCCTCTTGGGATTTTGGGCATGCACACACACACAACACTCACACACAGTGTGAGTTTCAAGATGCTGGGTCTGGGAGAGAGAGAGAGAGAGGAGAGAGAGAAACAGAGGGAGAGAGAGGGAGAAAGCACCCCCCATGGGGCGTGGTCACAACGTTTTCCATTTCTCTATCCTGTTGGGATGTGGGGCGTGTATGCACATGTGCTTGGCAGTGTTGTTCAAATCACTGGGGCGGAGATTCAAACAGCAGTGGGTCATGAGGGACCCAGTTTCCTTTAACTCCTAGGCTATGGGACAGGCCCTAGTGCCACAGCCTTTACAGGGGATGAGCAAAGCTTGGAATTGGCTCTAACTTCAGCATTTTCTGCCACCTGCTCATGTACACAAAATCCTAAGAAAATCCCCACAGCATAGATTCTCCACACTGACGTCCATACTTTCCTTATATTAGACATAAGGACATGTGTGGTGAGGCAAGGATACTTAGACAATTACTTAAGAATTATGGTTTATTTTTTTTCTTTTTGGAGAGATTTTTGTTAAAGAGAAAATGAGAAATCACTCCCCACAGGTGATGGCCACACTGCAATCCCTTCTCTTCCAATCTCCTCTTGGGATTTTGGGCATGCACACACACACAACACTCACACACAGTGTGAGTTTCAAGATGCTGGGTCTGGGAGTCAAACCACAGTCAAACATGGAGTAGTCCAGTGCCTTGACCACTATGCCACATGCTGGCCCAGAATTATATTTTACTTTTATTTTTATTTTTTTATATAATTTGCTTTATTAAAAAATGAAATCTTTATTTTAATACCAGTTTTTAACATATTGTGCAACTTTTTTTCAAAGAAATACATTACAAATCCAGTCTTTTAAAAATTCTAGAAGTCATAAATTTAGACACAGGTTTTATATTTTACTTTTAAATAATTATTTAATTTTATTTATCATTAGTATGATTTTTAAAATTTGCTACAGGGCAAGTATGCTCACTAAACAGAGACAAAGGGAGAGGGAGAGAGGAAAAGTGAGAAAGCAAGCCACCAGGCACAGGACTCAAACCACGGTTAGTCATGTGGCAGTCCAGTGCCTTAACCAATATGCCAGCTGCTGGACCCCCAAGATTTATGTTTAATGTCTTTATGTTTCGTTTACTTTGTGAGTTAACTGGAGGCCTCAGAGAGAAAATCCTACCGGGGTGAATCTTCCCTGCTGGGCCCTGAATTAAAGAGCTAGGTTGAACGACTGGGTCGTTTTAATAGCACCTGTCTTGTCCAGGCACTCCCAAGTGACTTCTTCTCTAAGCATGTAGTGTTAGCATTCAAAGGAACGAAGAAGGTTGGCCACAGAAAATAGACTGACCTACAGAATTCCCTTCTGACTATTTCATTTAAGAGAATAGTATCACATTTTTCTCTTCTTGGTTCTGGGCTGAAAGTCATCAGATATTTTTTTTAAGAATTACTTATTTAATTTTATTTATTTATTCATTTATTTTCATTTGACTGGGAAGAAACACAGAAAGAGAGAGGGAAAGTGAGAAAGCAAGCCACCAGATTTGGGACTTGAACCATAGTTGGCCATGTGGGAGTGTCCAGCATCTTAACCACCATGTCACCTGCTGGTCCTTCATCAGAGTTTTTTAAAAAGCAAGTAGGACAGTATCCTAATGTGACAGGTTGAATATTTGCCATTTAGATTTATTTTTTCTTCTCCTTCATTTATTTAGTTGTTGAAAAACAACCTCCCTCATACTCATTTGCCTTGGATTTTTTTTTTTTCAGTTCTAAACTGTGTGTGTGTGTGTGTGTGTGTGTGTGTGTGTGCATGTGTAGTGTTTCTTTCTTTTTCTACAGGGCACATATACTCGCAGGAGAGAGAGAGAGAAAGTGAGAAATCACCCCACAGGGAGGATAGCTACCATGTAGTCCTTTCTCCTCCATTCTCCTCTTGGAATTTTGGACATGCACATACATGCACCAGGTGTGTTTTTCAAGTCGCTGGGTGTGGGACTCGAACCATGCAGTTGACCATGTGGATTCTAGCTGGCTTACTTGCTGCACCACCTACTGGCCCTATACGTATCTCACTGGTGTCATGATCCCCCTACTTAGGCTTCTGTGAAATTGTTTCCACAGGTGCACACCATACCCAGCTCCCTCAGCCAGGGTCTCGCTATGCTGCCCACACTGGCCTCATCTTCCCACATCAGTCTCCTGAGTCACTGGGATGACAGGAGTGCACCATCTTGCATAGATTTTAGGGTGGGCCAGGAATCAAGCCAGGGACTCCCAAGAGTCCTCAGTCTGCCTCCAAACATTTTTTATTCCCCCTTCCACAACCTTTGCTCACTGATGACGTTCTCGATAACTCTCAATCTCTAGTTCATCCCCCTCATCATATCCTTCAGGTCATTCCTTCTGATACATGGTATCTATCCATTTAATCAAATCTGAAGAACAAATTCCTGTGCAGACAGTTCCTAAGCTGACGACAGTGGGGAGTGAGTCCACGTGTGTGGCCATGCAGTTTCCACACAGCTCAGGGATGGGAAGATCTTCCATTTTTCCAGCAGAACACCCTGGACATTTTTAGGTGCCCCACAAGTTACATCATCCAATTATCCTTCAGAAATAAAGGATTATTCAGATGTGATTGATTATGGTTTATAATGGATCTCAGTTTCAGCAATTAAGCATTTTAATTGCAAAGATACTCAACTGCTTATTAGCCATATAAAACTTTCCATGCAGAATGTACAAAGGACAACTATTTCTAAAAAATTAGACATGAACATAAATCCACTTCTTTTTTTTTTTTGTGAGAGATTATTGCTACAGAGCATGTGCGCTTGCTGCAGAGACAGAGAAACAGAAAGACAGAAAGCGAGAAATCACCTCCCCGCCAGGAGGTATGGTCATGCCACAAGCCCATCTCCTCCATTCTCTTCTCAAGATTTGGGGCACACATCCACATGCACCCAGCGTGAGTTTCAAGCCACTGGGTCTGGGTCTCAAACCACAGTTGACCACCTGGGAGTCAGGGCCTGAACCACCATGCCACCTACTGGCCCCTGAAATAAATCTACTTTATTGCTGAGATACGGTAAAATAAAAAAAAAAAAAAAGGCAAACTACATCTTACCGTTGGGGCCCATGATCGTTGGATTCATATTGTTCATAATTTACAGCTAATTTTTCCTTCTGGGTATATCTGTTGACAAGGCCTATGTAATTCCCAATGGACGATCCTTCAGAAGTGTCTGTTGTCGTCAATGATAAAGAGCAAACTGGCTACAAAGGAAAAAAAATTGTTTAATATAAATGACAACAGAAAGTTAACCCTTTATCTCATTTTTCTAATAAAATTCTGAAATAAGCAAGCTTAAAAGACAACTTAGATGTGAACTATTTCCCTATCCTTGTACTCTGAGTAAAGTAACTACTTCCTGCAATATGCTGGGCACATGCAATGCTGATGATAAAGGGCATGATCCACGGGCTGGATAAAGCCAGGGGTGGACCATGATGTTGGGCCCATGTGGGGGTGCTGTCTCTATTGCTCATGGATGAAAAAAAATGAAGATTTTTTTTTTGAGAGGTTTTTGCTATAGGGCATGTGCGCTCACCGGAGAGATAGAAAGTGAGAAATCACTCCCCAAAGGGAATGGTTATGCTGCAATCCCTTCTCCTCCATTCTCCTCTCGGAATTTTGGGTATACACGTACATGTGTCTGGAGTGAGTTTTAAGCTGCCAGGTCCGAAACTCAAACCACAGTCAACTACGTGGGAGTCCAGCAACATTACCATTCTGCCATCTGCTGGTCCCATGAATATGCTTTTTTAAAATGTAATTATATGGGACCAGCAGTTGATGTAATGGCTATGCCAATGGAATCCCATGTAGTCAACTGCGGTTCGAGTTCCAGACCCTGTGGCTTAAACTCATGCCAGGCACACGTGCATGCATGCCCAAGATCCTGAGAGGAGAATGGAAGAGAAGGGACTGCAGCGTGGCCAACAGCCCTGGGGTGATTTCTCACTTTCTGTCTATCTTTCTGGTGAGTGCACGTGCCCTATAGCAAAAAAAAAAAAAAAAAAAAAAAAACAAAAAAAAAAAAAAAAAACGAACAAACAAAAAAAAACTCTAAAAAAAAATGTGTAATTATATACTCTCTCTACCAGAAAAAAAATCTACAAAGATAAATTTTAATAATAGAAAAGAGATCATCTAGCCAGTTTCAAAGCCTAGTAGTTACAGGAACCCACATCTCACATGGCTGACCTCAGTTCAAGTCCTAGCCCTAGCCTCTGGGGCTTTAAAAACATGCTGGACATATGTGTATGGGTATTCCAAATCCCAATGGGACTGAGGGACAGAGGGACAGAGGAGAAGGGATTGTGGCACCTAAATTGGGGATGCATGCTCTCTCTCTCTGTCTCTCTCTGGTGACTGCATGTGCCCTCAGCCAACTAGAAAAAAAAAATAAATAAGAAAAGAAATCACCTATTTTTCTTTTCTTTTTAAGTTTTTTTTTTTTTTTTTCTCCCTGAGAGAGAGAGAGAAGCACCCTAACAAGGTCCCCACACCATGATCCACTCTCAACCTTAGTCATCCAGGTTTATAGGCCCAGGCACGTATGTGTACCTGGCTTGTACAGGGAGGCCTTGGGATGTGAACCCAGACCCTTCTTGTGGATCCAGCATCACAGGGCACTGTGTTACCACTGTTCCACAGTGGCAGCCCTGTTTTCCTTGTTTCATAAGGAAAAACAAAATTGTCCATTTGCATGCAGTTATAATTAGCTTCCTGTATTCTTTGTAAATCTCCAAAAAATGGGGTAACATGAAAGTAAGGCTCTATCCTAGATCACAGCTTAACAGAAAAGATGAATATAATAGTATCATTAGTTGCACCTTCTTTTTTCTTAATCTGATAAGATCTGGACTGAAGATTTTCTGTATTATTAGTTTTGTCAAAGAATTAGCTTTTGATTTTATTTATCTATATGATGTTTTTAAAGAGAGATTTTTGCTATAAAGCATGTATTTACTGGAGAGACAGAAAGAGACAGAGATACAGAAAGCAAGAAATCATCCCCTGGGTGGGGCGGGGGCGGGGGGGATGGCCGTACCACAATCCCTTCTTTTCTATTCTCCTCTCAGGACTTTGGGCATGCGCACTTATGTGCCTGGCGTGAGTTTAAGCCACTGGATCCAGGTCTCAAACCACCGTCAACTATGTAGGAGTTCAATGATGTAACCATTATGCCATCTGCTGGTCCCTAATCTTTATGATTTTTAACATTATTTTCTTGTGTTGCTATATTTTCTTTCCTCAGTCTTTCTGAGGGAAGGATGTTCTAGGTTTTCATTTTAATTTATTTTTTCATTTTAATTTTTTCTTTTTCTTTCTTTCTTTTTTTTTTTGGAGAGGTTTTCGCTATAGGGCGTGTGAGCTCACCAGAAAGACATAGAGAGAGACAAAGAGCTAGAAAGTGAGGAATCACCCCCCAGGGGGGATGACCACGCCGCAATCCCTTCTCCTCCATTCTCCTCTCGGGATCTTGGGCATGCACGCACATACGCCTGGCTTGAGTTTAAGTTGCTGGGTCCGGGACTTGAACTGTGGTGGACTACGTGGGAGTCCAGAGACAAAGCCATTACGCTAACTGCTGGTCCCCTTAATTTTTTCTTTTTAGTAATGAACTAATTTATTTATTCAATGAGTGAAAGAGATGCACCCAACAGGGTCTCAACACCACAGTCTACCCCCAACCCCAAGCAGCCTTACATCGTGGCCGTATGTGTGTCTATAGCATACTTCTGCACAGACCCAGAACCTTCCCATGTAGGTCAGTCTCACAGAGCATATCATTCTGCCACTGTGCCACTGTATTCTATTGTTTTTGGGTCCCCCCCCAATTTCTTCACTGTTTTTCTAGCTCACTGATAATTTATAAGTTTATCATTTTGCTTGATTTTTTTCCCCCAGTTTTGGTTAGAAGAACGTTTTCTTCAAGTAAGATTTTTAGTAAACGATTTTATTTTTTTTAAAGAGAGATTTTTTGCTATAGGGCATGTGGGCTCACTGGGGAGACAGAGAGAAAGAGGATGATATAGCGAGAAATCACCCCCCCGGGGGCGGGGGGAATGGCCACACTGTGATCCCTTCTCCTCCATTCTCCTCTTGGGATCTTGGGCATGCACACTTGCCTGGCATGAGTTCAAGTTGCTGTGTCTGGGAGACTCGAACTGCGGTCAACTACGTGGGAGTCCAGCAACGTAACCATTATACCATCTGCTGGTCCCAGTATACTCTTTTAAAAGCTAAATCTTTCCAAAATTTTCAATATCTGAGAGTGACCCCCTGTTGGCTCCCATGGAAATGACTTCATGTCTCATTTTGAAGCAATTGCTCCACTATCATCTAGATTTTTTTAGGTTTTTGCCATAGGGCACATGCACTTGCTGGAGAGAGACAGAGAGACAATGAGAGAGAAAGTGTAAAATCACCCCCCACACCCCAAGGGGGATGGCCATGCCATAGTCCCTTCTCCAGGGATTTTGGGCATGTGCACATGTGTGCCAGGCAAGACTGTCAAGCTATTAAGTCCAGGATTCAAACTGTGATTGGCTGTGTGGGAGTCCAGTGCCTTAGTCACCACACAACCTGCTGGCCCCCTAGCTCCTAGTTTTTCATGTTTCTCTGGGCAGCGTGTAACTTTTTCTAGGTTTATATTTTACATACTTGCCTAGCTTCTTTCTTCATTTCTGGAGCTAAGTACTTTCACACGGATTGATGTTGTTCTGGGTGGTTTTCTATTTTCCTGTGGCTATGGAGTTGTTTTAAGCTAAAGTCAGTTCTTTCTTCACTTCATAAATACTTTTGGCTAAAATATCCTCAGGTTTGTTTTATTTTTATTTTTTTATTTTTGTACTCTTTCCTTTGTTCTCATCTTTAGGGAGGCAATTACATCTATGTTGGTTCTCCATTATCTGCCCTTCATATACCTCATGCTCCCTGTGATATTTTAACGTTCATCTTTTTCCTTTTCCACTTATACTTCTTCAGTGATGTGAACTGGACTCCTCCTAGAACATGTATCACCTCTCCATAGTTGTTTAATTTTAGAGTATTTAACTGCTGCTGTTACTCTAAATATCTATTACCCAACTTTGCCCAAGATTTCCTAGTTATATCTCTCACTCCGGTTTATACAGAAATGGAGACAGGAATAAAAATGGAACTAAACCCTAGAATATAAAATAACATGGTTTTCCTATATATGTGAATATTTTCTCATAGAGAGAAATAGATATCTGTAAGTTCCCTTTCACTGGGAAAAAAGCAATCACTCACCTCGTTTTCTTTATTAAGTATCTCAACAGCTATTTTGGCTGCAGCATTTTTTGCTTCCTTTTTTGATCGGCCTTCAGCTGCTGAAAATGCTCTCCCATTTATGATAACTTGAAATGTAAACCTGATTACAAAGAGAATATTTACAAAATATTATACAACTCATGAACCTTCTAAGGGCAAGAGCTTCAGTCACTATTGCCTTCCATGACTTACCTCTGAGGGTTTAAATCTGTGTTTAATATAGAATTTTTTTTGGGGGGGGGAGAGGTTTTCGCTATAGGGCACGTGTGCTTGCTAGACAGACAGAGAGAGACATAGAGACAGAAAGCGAGAAATCATCCCCCAGGGGTGATGGTCACGCCGCAATCCCTTCTCCTCCATTCTCCTCTTGGGATCTTGGGCACGCACGCACACGCGTCCGGCGTGAGTTTTAAGCTACCAGGTCCGGGACGCGAACCGTGGTCGACTTCGTGGGAGTCCAGCGACATAGTCATTACGCTAACTGCTGGTTCCCATAATATAGAATTTAAACAGTCATGTCAAACTGCAAATAGCACATTTTGAGGTATAGAAAGGCTTCTACCTTCGGGGGCCAGCAGTTAGCGTAATGGCTATGTCGCTGGACTCCCACGTAATCGACTGTTGTTCAAGTCCCGGATCTGGCAGCTTAAAATCATCTGGGCGTGTGTGTGCGTGCCCAAGATCCTGAGAGGAGAATGGAGGAGAGGGGATTGCCGCGTGGCCATCCCCCCTGGGGGGGGGGGGATTTCTTGCTTTCTGTCTCTCTCTTTCTGACAAGTGCACGCACCCTATAGTGAAAACCTCTCAAAAAAAAAAAAAAAAAAAAAAAAAAAAAAGGCTTCTACCCTCTTTTGTCTCTGGAGTATCTGAGGTTTTACCACTTTATGCCAGGAGGACCCACAGAACTCTTTGACATATTGCTATTGGGTTAAAGAACTGATCTCGCAATTGTCCCAGAGTTGCCATTTTCTTATTTACATTTATGGGGACATACTCTTTGTTTATAGCAACTACCTTCGGTCATGTGGAGGTCCTTCCTTATGCACTTCACGGTAATCAAGTATTACGCCATGTTTTTGACGGTATTTATTAAGTTCTTCTATGTAGAAACCTGGGGAAAGATTATTGGCCATTTCTTCTTCCAGTAATCTGCAATAGAAGAGATGGTTGAATGAATGCTACTCCTAGACATATTGAATCTGATTTTCCCATCCCCTCCCCACATGAATTCAGAGAAAACTTGATTTCAAAGCCTCTCTTTCTCTCTCATGAACATCATAATCAGCTGACTTCACAATTTTCAACTTTCAAAACTCACCTGGTCAAAGAAAGGAGGCCTTTCTTCTGAACTCAGCTCTCTGCCTCCACTGAGTGTCAAGGGTAAGTGTAGAGAAGGGGTAGGGATTGCAGGAGTAGAGTTGGCATTTTTTTACATTGAGGAAAAAAAGGTCTAGCCTATACATAATGAGTGAAGTTCATGAACTCATGAAGGATTTTTCTGTATAGAAATAGATTTTCCTATGAACGCTCCAAAATCCCCCCTTTGAAATGCGCAGAAATCAATTTTAGGACAATTTACCCACTGAGTTAATTAAGATACCGGTTTAAAGGTCTCACTGAACCAAGACATAAGCAATTATTTAAAATACAAACAAAAGGTGACGAACATAGAAACTAAATATAAGAGCCAAAACAATGATACTCTAAGAAGAAAACCTTAAGTTAAATCTTTATGATCTTGGATTGGTGATGGACTCTTAGTGATAACAGTAAAAGCATACGCAATGAAAGAAAATAGATAAATTTGGCTTCACCCAAATTAAAAACTTTCATATAACAAAAGATACCATGAAGAAAATGAAAAGACAATCTACAGAATGGGATATTTGTAAATCTTATATCTGCTGAGGGTCTAGTATTCAGAATACATAAAGAACTTTTCCAACTCAAGAAGAAAAGGGCAAATAACCCACTTTAAAAAAATGCACGGTCAGCCCATACTGTAGAGGTTAAGGGGGATAGATCCCACATGGCTGACTATGCATTTTGAATCCTGGACCTGGTGGTTGAAGAAACATTCCAGCCACATGTACTTACGTCTCCAAAATCCTGACAGGAGGGTGAGAGACAGGAGAAGGGATTGCGATGTTACCTCATGTTGTGGTGTGATTTCTCATTGTGCTTACCCCTTCACACACCTTCCACCCTGCCCCCATCCATCATGCTCTCTGGTGAACACATATGCCCTCTGGCAAAATGTATTTTTTTAAATATGCAAAGTACTTGAACAGACATTTATCCAAAGAAGATACACGAATGGTCAAAAAGGCACGTGAAAAGGTGCTCAACATCATTTGAAAAATGCAAATCAAGGACCAGCATTTAGTGTAATGGCTGTGTCACTGGACTCCCATGTAGTCGACAGTGGTTCGAGTCCTGAACCCGGTGGCTCAGACTCACGCCGGGTGCATGTGCGTGTGTGCCCAAGATCTCGAGAGGAGAATGGAGGAGAAGGGATTGCGGCGTGGCCATCCCCCATGGGGGGGGGTTCTCTCTTTCTGTCTCTCTGTCTCTCTCTGTCTTTCTGGCAAGTGCATGCGCCATATAGCAAAAAACCTCTCCAAAAAAAATGCAAATTAAAACAAAATACTAAACACTACTTCATTTCCACTAGGAAGACTACAATAATAGTAATCAGAAAATAAAAATGTTGACGAGATGTGGAGAAATTGGGACCCTCAGACATTGCTGATGGGAATATAAAACTGTGCTACCACTCTGGAAAACAAACTGGCAGTTCCTCAAAAAGTTCAATTTAGTACTACCATATAACCCAGCAGTTCCCTCCTAGAATTGAAAAATAGGTTTTCAGGGGGCTGGCAGGTGGCATCTGCTGAGGGTCTAGTATTCAGAATACATAAAGAACTTTTCCAACTCAAGAAGAAAAGGGCAAATAACCCACTTTAAAAAAATGCACGGTCAGCCCATACTGTAGAGGTTAAGGGGGATAGATCCCACATGGCTGACTATGCATTTTGAATCCTGGACCTGGTGGTTGAAGAAACATTCCAGCCACATGTACTTACGTCTCCAAAATCCTGACAGGAGGGTGAGAGACAGGAGAAGGGATTGCGATGTTACCTCATGTTGTGGTGTGATTTCTCATTGTGCTTACCCCTTCACACACCTTCCACCCTGCCCCCATCCATCATGCTCTCTGGTGAACACATATGCCCTCTGGCAAAATGTATTTTTTTAAATATGCAAAGTACTTGAACAGACATTTATCCAAAGAAGATACACGAATGGTCAAAAAGGCACGTGAAAAGGTGCTCAACATCATTTGAAAAATGCAAATCAAGGACCAGCATTTAGTGTAATGGCTGTGTCACTGGACTCCCATGTAGTCGACAGTGGTTCGAGTCCTGAACCCGGTGGCTCAGACTCACGCCGGGTGCATGTGCGTGTGTGCCCAAGATCTCGAGAGGAGAATGGAGGAGAAGGGATTGCGGCGTGGCCATCCCCCATGGGGGGGGGTTCTCTCTTTCTGTCTCTCTGTCTCTCTCTGTCTTTCTGGCAAGTGCATGCGCCATATAGCAAAAAACCTCTCCAAAAAAAATGCAAATTAAAACAAAATACTAAACACTACTTCATTTCCACTAGGAAGACTACAATAATAGTAATCAGAAAATAAAAATGTTGACGAGATGTGGAGAAATTGGGACCCTCAGACATTGCTGATGGGAATATAAAACTGTGCTACCACTCTGGAAAACAAACTGGCAGTTCCTCAAAAAGTTCAATTTAGTACTACCATATAACCCAGCAGTTCCCTCCTAGAATTGAAAAATAGGTTTTCAGGGGGCTGGCAGGTGGCATGGTGGTTAAAGGTGCTGGATTCCCACATGGCCGACCACGATTTGAGTCCTGGACCTGGTGGCTTGCTTTCTCACTTTCCCCACTCTCTCTCTGATCACATTGGTAAATAATCATAATAATACTAAATAAATAAATAAAATAAAATAATTCTTTAAAAAAAGAAAAATAGGTTTTCAAATACTTACTACAGAAATATTCATAGCAGCAATGTTCACAGTTGCCAAAATGCAGAAACAAACCATGTGTCCATCAACTGATGAATGCTAAACAAAATTGTCGTCTACCTGCACAATGTATTATTCAGTTGCAAAAAGAAATGACATACTGATAATACGTGCTACAATATGGATGAATCTTGAAAACATTATGTTAAGTGAGAACAGACATAAAAGGTCACATCTTGCATGATTTCATTTGTATAAAACATCTAGAGTAGGTAAATCCATAGTCAGAAAAACAATCTCTATTAATCCTTTTCTCTGTCTCTCTCTTTTTACTGCTAGATGGTGTATGTGCTTACCCAAGAGGGAGAGGAAAGTGAGAAAGCAACCCTTAGGTAGAATGATCGTGCCACAATCCCTTCTCCTCTGTTCTCCTCTTGGAATTTTGGTCATATACACACACGTGCCTGGTGTGTTTTTCAAGCCACTGTGTCCAGGAATCAAACCATCCAGTCAGTCATGTGGGACCCAGATGCCTTAAGCACCACACCACCTGACTGGCCCTCCTGTTCACCTCTTATTTCCTGTTGGAAGCTCTTCCATGGCTACTCTCTCATACTCCTTAATTTTGTAGGCTCTAAATTCTGGAGTGGTCCAAAGACCCTTTTCTCTGTTCTCTATGCTTTCTGTTCAAGGTGACTTCTTTCATGTCCATGTCATTAACTCTCAAATGTTCATATTCCTTATTAAATTCTGAGTCTCAGGGCTCTCTTTCCAATATCTCCACTTGAACATCTTGAGTAAACTTTAAATTCACAATAGGTAATGCATTTATGATCTTTCCCCAAGCTGTTTTAAAGTTTCCTTTCTCAGAAAATGACTCCACTTTGGCCAGCAGGTGGTATAGTGATTAAGGCACTGAACTCCCACACAGCAGACCATGGTTCAAGTCCTGGACCTGATGGCTTGCTTTCTCTCTCTCTCTCTCTCTCTCTCTGTCTCTGTGGTTAACTTGAAATAATAATAATAATGAATAAATTAAATAAATAATTATTTTTAAAAAAGAAAGAAAGAAAAGAAAATGACTTCACCATTCATCCAGGTTTGAGTCATGAATCTGGGCAACATCCTTGATGTTCCCTCTCCCTACATTCTAATTCAGAGCTAAGTCCTGTAACAAAAATCTTTCTGTTTCTCAATGATGTCCATAACCACCATCCTGGTGTAAGCCCCCACCATCTCACTCCTGCATGGCTACAAGAATCTCAGAACCAAGCCAGCCGTGTAGTGCAGTGGTATCACAATGCTCCACAAAGCTGAGACCACATGAGAAGGTCCTGGGTTCACATCCTCTGGTTTCCTTGTACACACCAGGAGTGCGAGTGTGCCTATCAACCTGGGCTGAGGCTAGGGGTGGATCGTAGTGTCAGACTCTGTTGCGAGTGTCTGCTCTTTGGATTATGGGCACATGGTATTCTTTTCAAAGCATCAGTGCAGTCAGCAGCCTCCACAAACTACTGAAGTTGTTCTTGTCCAGGTTACCAAGGATTTCGCCATTGCTAAATCCAGTCGTCCGTTTTCAGTCGTCATCTTCGGATTTACAACCAGCATTTGACACGGTCGCACCTTCCCTTCTTGGTCTTCTCTTTTTCTTAGCTGGCACTTCTGAGACACCTACTTTTTTGGTTTTCTTTCCTCACAAGCTGCTCTTCTGTCTCCTTTCCTGGTTCCTTTTCATCTTCCATTAGAAGGAGCTCAGGAAATGCCACCTCAAAATATAAGGCTATGCTGATAACTTTGAACCAGGGCACAGTTCCAGGGCAGTTGCAGAGGCAGATGCAGGCGGAGGCTTTCTCCGAGCTTTCCTTATGTGCCTGAAGGTGGGTTCCCAAAAAAGAATTCAACTGTCATGAATCTCCTTGCCAGGGATCTCATCCACCAGGGAAGACTGGCTCATCTCACAGGAGAGGAAGCGGGATGAAGACCGACTGTCACGGGCTACTACCTATTCTCCTGAGGCTTCTCTGAGATAACTTCTGTTACCTGAGAGACTGTGATTGCAGGGCAGGGCAGTCCACCGCGCACTTCCTCTCCTCACCCTCCCATGGCTGCCATCTCTCCACAGAGGCCCTGGGCCACAGTTCCTTTCTGTAGCTCAGGACGCCATGATATAACTGCGTTCATCTGGCCCTCCTTCAAGGCTCATATGCTGCGAGACTCCCACACACACGTACATAATTATGGATTTTCTCCTATTAATCTGTCTTACGTCAATTTAATTTGTAGCCCACCCAAAGAACCTAGAAGGGTAGAGAGTAGACATTTTTCATCTCTTCACACTTTCTCCTAAATACTACAGTGATGTGGGGCCCAGTGTTCAGGTTCTTGTTCTCTAGCTACACTTACTACACTGGTGAGCACAGCCAGGCGTGAGGCCTTAACCTACAGCATGAGGTGGTGGAAGGCACACCCCTGTTCGGACTTCTTGAATCTCCAGTTGCCTCTGTCCAACGCACGCCCTCCTGAAATGCTCTCGACTCTGCTCCTTTATTGCCTTTGCCTCATCCACTCCTGCTTCCCGTAGACCTTGGCTCAAATCCCAGACACTCTTTAACCAGCTCTTCCCTAGTCCTTGTTACCACTATTACAATTGCTTATTTAACTGTCTTCCAAAATGAACTGAGTTATAGGAGAGGAGCTCAATGAACAACGAATGAATGAATGAATAACAAACTGTCTCCAGTTCTCCCTTCCATGGGATGCCTTCTTTTCTCTAGGTTTGTAATGCAATATCTGCATCCTCTGTCTACCAGGCAATCGCCACTCTCATCTGTCAGGACCCACACAGCCTTTTTTTTTTTTTTTTCTCTTCTTTTTAGAATTATTTATTTAATTTTATTTATCATTATTATTCCTTCATTCGAGGAGAGAGAGAGAGAGAGAGCAAGAGAGAGAAAGTGAGAAAGCAAGCCTCCGGGTCTGGGACTCGAACCACAGTCGACCGTATGGGAGTTTAGCATCCCAACCACTACTGCCACGTGCCAGCCCCAACACAGCCTTCTTTGATGCTGGAGAGGTACTTAGTACCCCTCCATGGGCCTGCCTCTTACCTCACCCAACCCTCATCATAGCCCTGACTGCTTTTCTTTTCTTTCTTTCTTTCTTTCTTTCTTTCTTTCTTTCTTTCTTTCTTTCTTTCTTTCTTTCTTTCTTTTTTGCTACAGGGTGCAGTTCTTTGGAGATCAGACACTATGTCTTACTCATTCACCTGTAATAAATCTCCATATCATCACTTCAAATGGTATCTGTCCACCTTACTCATGCCCAGAAGCGACTCGCCTGTGTCCCAATTCCCTTCCAGCAGACAGTGGGCACCTGAGGACTGAGCTCCCTGAAGGGGCCTGCGTGACGTTTTCCATATAAAGTGCATTTGACTCGTATCTGGTTAAAAAACACATAAACTTCAGCAGGGTTCTAAGTTCCTAAGTGACAACCCGGGGAGTATCTTTGAGCTTCCACCTGGCAGGGCCCTTGTAGTTAGTACTAAAAGAAAACATGGGCAACAGGAATCCTCATGTTTCTGGAATTCCAAAGAGAAGTTGTAATTACCATTCACTTAACAAGTATTTACTGAGCACCTGCTGGGAATTCGGTGCTGGACGTGTCCTAGTGAAGGAAACCCGGCTCTCGAGAACTTCCTAGTGGAGGAACAGCTCAAGCCATTGAAGAAGTCAGGCAGGACAAGGACTACGCTGAAAACGAGCAGTGGGGACAGCGAGATCAGAGTGGGGTTTCTTTCACAGGCAGGTTGTCTCTAATAAGCCCACCCTGGAGGAAGTGCCAGGAAAAGCCACGTATCAGCCCACCCGGGATCTGCTGGGAAGAAACTGGCAGTGCGAGGCCTGGAGGCTGAGGGCGCTCGGCCGAGCTCCAGGAACGGCGCTGAGGCCTGGGTGAGTCCGGGAGCGAGAGGCTCTGCCTGTGGGCCCTGCAGTCTGCGGGAGTTCGGAGCAGGTGAGGGTCTGGCTCCGACAAACGCGGTGTGAGAAGGAGGTAGTGGAGGGGGGAAGTGGGGCGGGTGGCTGAGGCCGGGTAATCGAGAAACGGCCGCAATTCTCCGGGCTGCAGATTCTTAGCCAGGGACCATTTAGCCAATCTGTGGGTAACCCTGGCCCCCTGTTGCCCACGTCTGTCACGTCCTTCAGCCTATCCATTTAACACTAGCTATCCCGCCCCCCAACCGCTGCCTGGGATATACTTACCACCTGCTCCGATAAAAATTCTTCGCGGGAAGAAAATGACTTTCAGTTCCGGCCGCGATCCACGGTCCTTTCCTCCGGATCCGGGAAGGGCTCCGCACCTGGCTGTGCACCTCGGACCGGACTCCCAGTGCTGTCCCGCCTGCGCCAGGGGCTTCTGCTCCGCGCCCACGGCCGGGCTGGGGAGGCAGGATGGGCGCCCCTCCGGGTTAGGCACCAGGGCCCGCAGCTCGCACCATCCGCGTCCTCACCGACCCGCGCTCTTCACGCGCCCGCCCGCCCGGCTCAGCCCGCGCCGCTGCAGTCCGGCAGTTGTCGGGACAAGTCAGTCTCGCTTTCGTTTTCCCCCGCGGACTCCGCCTTCCCCTCCCGCAGCCCAGCCCCCTCTGACAAGCCCTCAGGATTCCTGGGGTCTGCTGGGAAGGGCCTCCTCCACCCGGAGGACGCGGGCGGCTCCGCTGACCCCGCGCCCCAGCTGGATGGGCTCCCAGCCCGGCGGCAGCAGCCCCAGCGCGGAGCCCAGGACCTGCCCCCTCTCCGGGACTCTGGAGCAGATACGGCTCCCATGTGGGGAGAGGTCTGCCATCCGAGCGTCCTCGCCGTACCAGGCTCTGCGATCCATAATCCTGTTCACTTTTCCACTCGAACGTTTGGCGTGGGGGTGGGGCGGTGGAGTGACCAGCTCCATTTTACAGCAGTGGAAACGGAATCAATGAACTTGTCCAGGGTCTCGCTGGCTGGTGGCGAAACCAGGATCCAGTTCACCAAAGCAGCCCCCTACCCCCACCGCCCGGCTCCTGCCCGTTCCAATCACAGGCTGGGGTGGGGTGTGATCTCCTTTCAGCCTGTTCTCTCACCCTTCCATTCATTCACGGGTACTTGTGAAATGCTGCCCACTCGTGGCCTGTCCAGCGGTTAAGGAGGGCCACCTGCTCTCTGCAGGACCTCTGATGGCCTACGGCTCGCTCGCAGAGTCACGCTGGCCCACCCGCACAGTGACGGAAGAGTGTAGAGGACTTACCTGCTGCCGTACGGTGTGCGACAACGCAAGGATCCTCACAATACTGAGAGAGGTGCCATTATTGTCCCCATTCCACAGATGAGAACGCTGAGGTCTGAGGCGCAGAGAAGTTATAACACAGCTAGGAAGCAGGGGAGCTAGAATGGCAGCGTAGTCTGAGGGAGGGAGGTGGGCCCAAGGTGGACCCTGAAACTACACTATCTTGCATTGGCATTAAACATCTACTCCCCCTCCTTTCTGCATTCCCCCATGACAGGAAGTACCAACAACTAAAACCTACACTTGTAGCTCAGGTCCTGAGCATGGTTTAAATAAACCCGCCCGCGAAACCTTGGTGGAAGCTTGGAAGCTGGGCAGGAGGCAGAGCCATCTTTCCGTGGCATTTCCAGGTACAAGAAGGGTAGGACAACGGTGGGCTTTTGCAGGAGTCGGTTTTGCAACTTCCTGGGTTTGGGGTGGCTGTGGCAGCAGCAATGGCGGTAACATGGACACTTTTCTGACTTTCTGAGCCCTCAAACTTTCCAAGAGAACTTAGGAAAGAAAAACAACAGAATGGAACATGATCAGAGGACACAAGCTTTTATGAGTGTCCCAGAAGAACCTGACTTAGTGTAGCCTTAGGGCTGCTGTTGCAAAAACCCATTGCAGGTAACAGAATTCCTGCAAGTGTTTTTATTTAATGTTTTTATTATTTTTATTTATTTACTGTTTTTACTTATTTACTTTGTTTTTATTTATTATTTAGTTATTTTTATTTGCCAGAGGGCGTGTGCGTTCACCTGAGAGAGACAGAGAAATGGAAATTGAGAAAGGACTCCCCATGGAAAATGATCGTGCTGCAGTCCCTTCTCTTCCATCCCTCCCTCTGGAGATTTTGAGCACACATGCACCCACAGGCTCAGCATGCTTCTCAAGCTGCAGCTGCCGGATCTGGGACTTGAATCATGCAGTCAGCTATGTGGAATCCAGCTGCCTCAATGGACTGAACTTCCAATAGAAATTTAACTTGCAGTCTCACCAGGTCTCTTCCATGAATGGGGAGGAAATTGATGGAGAGAGAACAAAGTCCTGGGAATCAGAATGGATTTGAATGAATTCAAATATCACTCTCTTCTCAAATTCTACTGAGTCTTCATAGCCCTCCGCCGTCCCCCACTGTTTTCTGGTAAGGTTGATACATCCTTTTAAATAGGTGTGATTCTCCACATGTCATCCCTACCTCACACCTTCATTCCTAGAATTAGAATCAGATGCTAACATGTACCAAGAGAATGTGGACAAGCTCTGATCCACAGGGGTAGTTTACACAACATAAGAATTGCAAGATTGTCCTAGTTTTGGTTTTTTTTTTTTTTTTTTTTGAGAGGTTTTTGCTATAGTGAGCGTGCGCTCGCCAGACAGACAGAGACATAGAGAGACAGAAAGCGAGAAATCACCCCCCCAGGGGGGATGGTCACACCGCAATCCCTTCTCCTCCATTTTCCTCTCAGGATCTTGGGTACGCACATGCTCCCGGCGTGAGGTTTAAGCCACCGGGTCCGGGACGCGAACCATGGTCGACTATGTGGGAGTCCAGCGACATAGCCATTATGCTAACTGCTGGTCCCAAGATTGTCCTAGTTTTTAATCAATGGAAATCCAGGAAGTACACATGGAAATGATTCTAAAGATGACATGAAGTAGAAATATAATTTAGATTATGAAACTGTGAAGCCAAGTAATGCAGATGAAGACATTAAAAAAATACTTAGAGGGACCAGCAGTTGGCATAATGGCTGGGTCACTAGACTCCCATGTCGTCGACAGTGGTTTGAGTCCTGGACCTGGTGGCTAAAACTCATGCCGGGTGCGTGTGTGGGCATGCCCAAGATCCCGAGAGGAGAATGGAGGAGAAGGGATTGCGGTGTGGCCATCCCCCTGGGGGGTGATTTCTCGCTTTCTCTCTCTCTGTCTGGCGAGTCCACGCACCCTATAGCAAAAATCTATCAAAAAAAAAAAATCTTAGAGAATCAGAAATATTGGAATAGGTGAATCACTTGCCAACAAATCACCTGTCCCCTAACCATAGCCCCAAGAAGATCCAAAGGCCTCTCTTTTAGTGACTTATGCAGAACCAGAGGCTAACAATTTTGCTGGATGTTCGGAAACTTGAAGACAACGAGATTAGAGGGCTGGTGATAAGGAGGAGGTCTGGGACAAAGATGTGGCTGAACCACCCGAAAGAGAGTGAGTGTCAGCATACAGGTTCCCTTGTGAATGTTCACCAGAGGCATCCACTTCTGGAAGCGGGGTTGAGAAGCAGGTGGGCAAGAAGACTTCTTAGGTCAACCTTTTCCCCAGCTATCCCAGGGCTTGTCCAAACAAAGAGGCTATGGCAGGAGCAATGGGAAATGTGAGGTTATCAACGTGAACTTCGTATCAAGGCTGAGCTGGCTGCTGAAACCCGGTGCGCCCACAGAAGAGACCCACATTGAGCCCTCACCCCCATGTAGAGTACCAGACCGCAAGTGAGATCCACCAGCCACTTGGAAGGAGACTGGTTACCTGGGAGTCAGTCCTTCTATCATGGAAGGGGCAGGGATTCTTACCTCCTTGGAATAAAGCACTTATTCCACTTACTCTTTGGAGTAAACACTTACTTCATTTGCTTTCCCTTCCTCCATGTTCCTGCCAGCACATCAGCGTTGGACAGACTGCATGCCTTGTTCACCCTTGCGGTATCTGTCCTAAGGAACCCATTGGATAGAGAAATATGGGAGACAATGCACGGCTGTGCTGGGATTCAAGTTTTATCACGAGCCTCATCGCCCAAAAGAAGCTGGCCTTCTGGGCCTGTGAGATGGCTATGGAAGACTCGGTGACAGCCTCCAAGTAGGAGACCACGCCCAGGAAGTCACGTGTGCTGCCGTCCTTCAAGACCTGCGTTCGCTTTAAATTAGGTGTTGTCTCTTCTTGGCCAGACTGTGTGAGCCCAGAAAACAGTAGAAGTGGAAGTGGTTGTCTCTCACAATTAGACCTAATCACACACTTGAAAAATACATTCTTCCTGCTTTCATGACCTTGGGCCTTGTTTCTTCATAGTTCCTTGAAGGGGAGATTGAAAATTGAACTGCCTCTGAACAGCACAGATTCTCCATGCCAAGAAAACACAGTGGGTACCAAACTGGCTGGCCTGATTGATAAGACTCACCGAGGGGAACTAGTGCTGTGGCTACACAATGGAGTCAGGGAAGACTAGCTCTTCAGCCTCATCTTTGAGTTCTTCTGGGGCTCCTCATAGTAATTGCATGCTGAATGGTAGGTGTTAATGGAAGCATACCCCTGTCCAACACAGGCAGGGTTGGTAAGGCCTCAGACCCTTTAGAGTTGAAGGTCTGTATCATCCTCCTAGCTGGAAAGCTTCCCACAGAAAAAAGGAATATAGAAATAAGGAAGATATAAACACCAACTGAGATATGTCCTGTTACGAAATAACCACAGAAACTATGCCTGATTTCTTCCTCACTTTGTTTTCGTATGGATTCACGAATTTCTTATAATTGTTCCTCCCTTTCCTTTTATATAACATTTGCCATTGGGGGTTAATTTTATAAGATACTCTCTAGGTTAGTGTTTTAAGGTGCAACTGTGACTTAAATAGAAGAGGAAAGAATATCACATGACAAAGGGTATAAAGATTTAGGGAACATGGGGCCAGCAGTTGGCATAATGGCTATGTCACTGGACTCCCAGGTAGCTGACCACAACATGCACCTGGCATGAGTTTCAAGCCACCAGGTCTGGGACTTGAATCACAGTCAACTATGTGGGAGTCCAGTGATGTAACAACTACATCATTTGCTGGCCCCTTGGACACAATATTTTTTAAGAACAATTTTTGAAATAAGGTGCATATGCTCGCCAGAGAGATAGAGACAGAGACAGCAAGTGAGAAATCACCCCCTGGGGAGATGGCCAAGCTGTAACCCCTTGTCCTCCATTCTCCTCTTAGAATTTTAAAAAAATAATTATTTAATTTTATTTATTCATACATTTGTTTTTAAAATTTGTTCAGAGAGAGATACAGAGAGAGAGAGAGGAAAAGGGAAAAAGCAAGCCACCAGGTCTGAGACTTGAACCACAGTCAGCCATGTGGGAGTCCAGCGTCCTCAACTACCACACCACCTGCTGGCCCCAGGATGAGCATATTTTTACTTGAACAAAGAGAACATTTTAATTCAGAAGAAACTTAGTTTCATTCTTTGCTTAAAGGAGTACTGGTGGAAGGAATGGATAGTACTAGATATTGTTCCTTTCTATTTCTTTATTTTAAACTTCCATTCTCAACCTCTTCTTTATCTCTCTCTCTTTTTGGAGAGGTTTTTTGCTATAGGGCGCATGTGCTCGCCAGAGAGACAGAGAGAGACAGAGAGACAGAAAGCGAGAAATCACCCCACAGGGGGATGGCCATGCCACAATCCCTTCTCCTCCATTCTCCTCTTGGGATCTTGGGCACACACGCACACGCGCCCGGCGTGAGTTTAAGCCACCGGGTCTGAGACTCAAACTGCGGTCACCTACATGGGAGTTTAGCGACATAGCCATTATGCTAACTGCTGGTTCCTTCTTTATCTCTTGATTATAGTGTATGGAAGTTTAAAATCATATTTTCCACATTCTGTAAAGTTAAAGTTCTGGACGTAATTTGTGATCTGTCAGTGACTTGCAGTGCTACAGATTTGGAAGATGGAAGAAAGGATAAGGGCATCCTTCTGCAGCATCCCGTTGTCTCTCCAGCATTTCTTGATGTTTTAAGGGGAGGATTTTCTGTTTAATCTAACCAATCATACTGCCAGAAATAATAGCCCTAGGGACCAGCAGTTAGTGTAATGGCTATGTCGCTGAACTCCCATGTAGTCAACTGCAGTTCAAGTCCCGGACCTGGGGAACCAGCAGTTAGCGTAATGGCTATGTCGCTGAACTCCCATGTAGTCAACTGCAGTTCAAGTCCCGGACCTGGGGAACCAGCAGTTAGCGTAATGGCTATGTCGCTGAACTCCCATGTAGTCAACTGCAGTTCAAGTCCCGGACCTGGGGAACCAGCAGTTAGCGTAATGGCTATGTCGCTGGACTCCCACGTAGGCGACCGTGGTTCGTGTCCCGGACCCGGTGGCTTAAACTCACGCCGGGCGCGTGTGCGTGTGTGCCCAAGATCCCAAGAACAGGATGGAGGAAAAGGGATTGCGGCATGACCATCCCCCCTGGGGGGTGATTTCTCGCTTTCTGTCTCTATGTCTCTCTCTGTCTGGCGAGCGCACGCGCCCTACAGTGAAAATCTCTCAAAAAAAAAAAAAAAAGGAACAAACATATTTATGCTCAAAATTTTCAGAAGTTATCATTATTACTGAATTCATACAACTTATTTTTTAGTTTTCTAATAATTATTTCATTTAACATTATTATTATTATTATTATTATTATTATTTTAACTTGACCAGAGAGAGAGAGGAAGAGTGAGAAAACAAGCCACCAGGTCCAAGACTCAAACCCTGGTTGGCCATGTGAGAGTCCAGCGCCCCAACTACCATGCCACCCCTTGAATTCATATCATTTAAATTTAAATATTCATTATTATTATTTGATTATGTCATTGTTTAAATTCAGCTATTATTAAGGAAAATAAAATTTCCAGGCTTGCTTAGCTGACCAGAATCAAGCCTGGCAGTGCGATTCATACTTCAGCTTTGCTCCTAGGACAGTGCCCGCTAAGACCGCTTTGAATTTTTCATCCATTTCTTGGTTCTGAGCTTCACTGAACAAGTTTTTCCAGTCACCAACTTCACCTACAACACACACAAAAACAGTAGACCCAGGCATTTGTTAAAATAGTCCTTGTTTATTTTACCAATTTTTCAGGACAACGTTCACTTTAAAATGTGAAAATGAACACATGAAAAATATTAGAGAGTTTAGAAAACTAATGTAATGTTGGGACCAGCAGGTGGTGTGGTGGTTAAGGCACTGGACACTCCCACATGGCCGACCAGGGTTCAAGTCCTCAATCTGGCGGCTTGCTTTCTCACTTCCTCTCTCTTTCACTCTCACCCTCTGTGTCTCTCTGGTCAAATTAAAAATTAAATGAATGAATAAATAAAATAAAATAAATAATTATATATAAAAAAAAGAAAACTAATGTAATATCTTAGATAAAATCAACAATAGCCACTGGGGTTTCCCCATCTGTGGTGTGACAGGTGACGTACTTTCTTTACATCATGAGTTGAGAGGGCTGTGACCCTTGGCCTCCAGGATCTCCCCCTGCAAATACCTGAGACCTAAGTTTTTGAGGGTGATATTTATTTCTCTCTTAAGTCTTTCAAATACTTCACCTATCCTTTGAGCAGTTAACATGTTTTGTTTTGTTTGCCTGAGAAGCGTGCACTTGCCAGAGAACGAGAGGGAGGGAGAGGAAGTAAGTACCACCCAGAGGGGTGTGGCCGTGCCACAATTCCTTCTGCATTTCTCCACCCTGTCAATACTATGAACATGCTTGCCTGCACACGTGCCTCGTGTGTCTCTCAAGCCACTGGGTCCAGGATTTGAACTGTGATTTGCCATGAACAATATGGCTCACCATCAGGCCCTGGGATTCACCTAAGCAGTTAATGTTTTATATCAGGTTTTGTTTAAGACTTCAGATACTGAAAACGTTCTTACATTTAATTGCTTTGGCTGAGATTAGAATATGTTTCTCTTACTTGCTCCTGAAAATAAAGGAAGTTATTTTTGTTCTAAAGAAATTTTTCAGTCATTCAGATTGACCTTGTAAGTTCCATGTTGCATAGCCATTGAAATGTCCTTTGGGTCAGTGGGTGGCCTGGTGGTTAAGGTGTCTGGATCCCACATGGATGATTATGTGGCTCAAGTTCTAGACCTGAGGGTTTGTAAAATATGCTGTGCACATGTGCGTGTGTGCCCAAGATCCCGAGAGGGGAATGGAGGAGAAGGGACTGTGGCATGGCCATCCCCCCTGGGGGGGTGATTTCTCACTTTCTGTCTCTCTTCTCTGTCTTTCTGGCGAGTGCACATGCCCTATAGCAAAAACCTCTCAAAAAAAGAAAAGAAAAGAAAAAAAGAAAAAAAAAATCCTGAAAGGAAAAATCGAGAAGGGATTGTGACCTTAGGGGAAATGGGACCAGAATGAACACGGGCTAGGATTTTGTTAATGAACACCACATTGCCAGCAGAGAATGTGCACATGACAGAGGGAGAACAAACACGCCCTCATGAGAGGTGGTTACCCCTACAACTCCCTTCCTTCTGTTCCCCCTTCCATCAGGATCCAGAGCATCCCTGCATATGGGCTCCATACGTTTTTAAGAGGCTGAGAGAGACTTAAACCCTGGTCAGCCATGTGGGACCTGGCTTCCCCCACATAGCACCTAACTGTTGCGCTATTGCACTGGCCCTGTCAGAAAGTTTACGCTCAAGAAATAGATGATGTGTTCAATGCATGATAAATGGCCGACAAATGTCAGCCATTGCTGTCCTTGCCAATTTACGGTATGTGCTGCCTTTACGTCTCATTATACTTTCATTAAATACACAATTAACAATATAACTGCCAATCTCTAAGCTACAGTACACTTTTCCATAAGAATGTAGACTGCATGAGTATATTTGAGCAAAATCATCTGTGTCAGAGACAACTAGTTGCCTATCCAAAATTCATTTTAACCTTCACTGTAAAAAAAATAAAGCTAGATCCCACATGGCCACTGTATGGTTTGAATCCCAGACCCAGTGGCTTGAAAAACATAACACATGCATGTACATGTGTGCCCAAAAGCTTGAGGAGAGAATGGAAGGGAAGGAATTGCAGTGTGGCCATTGCTCCTAGAGGATGCTTTCTTACTCTCTCTCTCTCTCTCTCTCTCTCTCTCTGTCCCTCAAGCAAGTGCACATTCCCTATAGAAAAAAAAAAAAAAAGGAGCCCAATTTGAACTGAATAGTGGTGGTACCCAGATTTTTTTTTAAAAGGTCACACTACTGGGAACAGCAGTTGGCATAATGGCTGTGTCACTGGACTCTCATGTAGTTGACTGCGGTTCGAGTCCCAGACCTGGTGGCTTAAACTCATGCTGGGCACATGTATGTGTATATGTGTGTGTGCTCAAGATCCAGAGAGGAGGATGGAGGAGAAGGGATTGTGGCGGGGGCATCTCCCCTGAGGGGTGATTTATTGCTTTCTGTCTCTGTCTGTCTCTGTCTTTCCGGCAACAAAAAAAAAAAAAAAAAAAAAAAAAAAAAAAAAAAAAAAAGCACGCTACTCACTCCTCACTCCTACTGGGAGAGAAGTCAAAAAAATGTAAGAAGACACCGAGTGGCGCGAGTGGAGTTTCCAGGAGAGCTCTGTAAAGGGGGCTCACTTGGCAGATGCACATGACCCTGTCCCCTGCCTGTTCTTTTCCTAGCTGGAATGGGGATGGAATGGTGGTGCTCCAGCTGCTATCTTGTGATCACAAGGTCACAAGCTGAGAGGCAGAAGGAACTGAACTTCATACTTGAAAAGATGTTGTGGAGCGCCCAGTGACAGCTCTGGATCGCCTATGTCCACCCTTCTTATTGAGAAAGAGAAAAAGAAATCATCTTGTTTAAGATAAAGGTGTTGGATTTTGTGTACAGGCAAGGTCATTCCTAACTGATCGGCTCTCCCAGAACCAACGCGATCTTACCTTTGCGGAACAGGAACGGGCCAACAGCCCCGTGTGTTTCCTGAGCCTTGGCTCGCATGGCTTGGAAAGTGCTCTGGGCCGAGATAGTTTGAATCTGCTCCCCAGTTAGAGAGAATCCGAAGAACTCAGCGATTCGTTTTATTCCAGCTGCCAGATTCTGAAAAGATAGTATTAAAGGATGAATTTCTTTCTATGGGAGTTGTACCCTGAGCAAAGATAGGCTTTTTAGTCAGGGCGGATTTATGAAGCCTAACTGCCTGGGTGAACTGCTTAGCTCTCTCTTTAGACTTACTGTGTGGTATTTCTATGTACATACGCAAGAGATTTCTATAAGATAGTTGGCATTGGTTATACTTGGTAGTTTCAATTTATGACTAATTAAGCTGCCTGATAATACTATTGGATTGTCAGAAAAGTCATGACGCATTTTTACATAGAAAAACCTAGGAAAAAATACATCATGATTTTTCCAACACCACAATAGTTAGGATGTAAATAAGGATGGTATGGACCAGATCCACATTATCCGGCACATACTGGTCACTTTGAGTCCCGGATCTGGCAACTGGAGAAACACTGAATGAGTGAGCATGTGTGCCCAAAATCCTGAAAGAGGGGAGAGAGAGGAGAAGGGATTGGGGTCTGACCGTGCCCCAGTGTGGGTGCTTTCGTCTTTCCTTCTCTCTCTGGATCTCTTTCTCTCTCTGGTGAGAGCACATGCCCTCTGGAAAATAATAATAATGATAGTATTATTATTGAGTGGATTAGAATTTTATCTAGGAATCCTGTTTATTGAAAAAGCACCAAACTACACTGTCACCTGGCGGCACAGTGATGATAATGCAACTGGATCTCACATTGGGAAGGTCCTGGGTTTGTGTCCTGCGACTTTTGTTAGCACGGCTGCAATGCTCCTGTGCCCATGACCTGGGTGGGCTGAAACTAGGGGTGGCTTTTGGTGTGAGGATCCTGTTGGAGGTGCCTGTCTCTCTCTGTATCTATCTCTGTCTTGGAAGTGATAAGTAAATAAACTTTTAAAAAGGCACCAGCCTAGGAGCTGGTGGGTGGCATGGTGGTTAAAGGTGCTAGACTCCCACATGGCTGACCATAGTTCGAGTCCTGGACCGGGAGGCTTACTTTCTAATTCTCTCTCTCTGATCAAACTGGAAAATAATAATAATAAATAAATAAAGTTAAATAAAATAATTTTTTAAAAAGAGAGAGAAATACCAGACTAGACTGAGGAAATTAAGGTACTGGGTTTTGTTGTTGTTGTTGTTGTTATTTTGTTTGTTTTTGCTATATGTGTACTTACCAAAGAGAAAAAGAGAGAGAGAGAGAAACACAGAAAGTGAGAAATTATCCCCTTGTGGGGATGGCCACTATGGTTTTCAATTCATTGGGTCTATTACTTATTGTTCTGTCTCCCCACCTGCTTGAGTTAGAACACAAGCTTCTTCAGGGCCGTGAACTTTGGTCTGTTTATCGATCATATCAGAGCCTAAAATAATTCTGCTTGTTAAGTGAATAAACAATTAAAAAAGGAACATTAACTGGAAAAATGAATTCACAACCAAATGCAAATCAATTAAACTAATTGAGACCTGCTTTTAGTTTTTCCCATTACTAATTTAGTCTACCCATCATAAAGAAAAATTAAAGCAGTCACTGTTAGTAATCAGGTGCAAAGAATTACTTTATTTCTGTTAAATAAGCAACCTAAACATTTATGTATGGTTTGATATTTTTTTCTAGTGCTATATCTACATCTGGAATATCTTTGAAAACTGATACCATATTCATTGATACATCAAGACATTACAAGTAAGTGCTCTAAGTCGCAGTTTATAATAAATCTTGCTCTAGAATATCAATAACTATGGTCTCACCTCTTTCAGGTCTTCATATAATATGAGTTTAATATTTTCATCATCAAGATGTTTATTCCAATTAATTGCAAAGTCAAAATAACTTCCCCAAGAAACTAAAAACATAGAAGATAAAAAAAACTTAAAGAATTTTAAATAGCTGAAGTTAATGTGATAGATGGTTAGTTTATGCTGCAAAATATCAACTATACATATGTAAATATATATATATATGCTGAAACAAAATATGTCTATTAAGTTATAACAAATCCTTGCCCCGAAAGAGCTAGCACAAACCAGTTTTGTTGTCAGATTTTTTTTTTTTAATTTTTCTTGGGGGTATGTGCGCTCGCTGGAGAGAGACAGAGAAGGAAAGTAAGAAAGCACCCCCGATGTGGTTTTGTCATGGCACAATCCCTTCACCTTTTCTCCTTTTGGATTTTAGGTATGCATGCATGTGCTCCAATAATTTAGTCTACCCATCATAAAGAAAAATTAAAGCAGTCACTGTTAGTAATCAGGTGCAAAGAATTACTTTATTTCTGTTAAATAAGCAACCTAAACATTTATGTATGGTTTGATATTTTTTTCTAGTGCTATATCTACATCTGGAATATCTTTGAAAACTGATACCATATTCATTGATACATCAAGACATTACAAGTAAGTGCTCTAAGTCGCAGTTTATAATAAATCTTGCTCTAGAATATCAATAACTATGGTCTCACCTCTTTCAGGTCTTCATATAATATGAGTTTAATATTTTCATCATCAAGATGTTTATTCCAATTAATTGCAAAGTCAAAATAACTTCCCCAAGAAACTAAAAACATAGAAGATAAAAAAAACTTAAAGAATTTTAAATAGCTGAAGTTAATGTGATAGATGGTTAGTTTATGCTGCAAAATATCAACTATACATATGTAAATATATATATATATGCTGAAACAAAATATGTCTATTAAGTTATAACAAATCCTTGCCCCGAAAGAGCTAGCACAAACCAGTTTTGTTGTCAGATTTTTTTTTTTAATTTTTCTTGGGGGTATGTGCGCTCGCTGGAGAGAGACAGAGAAGGAAAGTAAGAAAGCACCCCCGATGTGGTTTTGTCATGGCACAATCCCTTCACCTTTTCTCCTTTTGGATTTTAGGTATGCATGCATGTGCTCCAAACGTCCTTTTAAAGCTGCCAGGTCCAGGACTTGAACCTTGCAGTCAGACGAGTAAGATCCAGCTGGCTTAGCCACCACACCACCAGCTAGTTCTTGTTGTCAGATTTCTATCATTTTTCTTAGTTTCTGGGACATTTTTCATAAATAATAACACATAGAGCATTGTAAAACCAAGTTGATAAAAACTGCAAGAAGGGGCCAGATAGTGGTGCAGCAGTAAAACATGTGGTTTTGCAAGGCACTTCCACATAGAAAGGTTCCTGGTTCAAATCTGAAGAACTTGCAAGTATGCTGGGCATATCCTTGCCCATAATCCAGGGCTGGCTGGAACCTAGGGATGGATCACCATGTTGGGATCTTGCTGAGTTTACTATCTCTTGCTTGTGGAAGAAATGAATAAATATTCTTTTTTTAAAAAAAGAATTATGTATTTTTTAATTTAACCAAAGAGAGACAGAGAGAGAGAAAGAGAAAGGGAAAGTGAGAAGGCAAACTGCCAGGCCTGGGACTCAAACTGCAATCAGCCATGTGCGAGTCCAGCACCTTAACCACCACACTACCTGTTGGCCCCAAAGTAAATAACCTTAAGGAGAACCCAATAAGATATTCATGAATATTAAGGTGGATGAAATAATTCAAAAATAGCAAATGATACATGAAATCTGTCAGAGATGATACCAGAAAGAAAAAAACTATGAGATAGACATTATCTAGACCAACATTGCCTAAAAGAAATGTAATGTAAGCCATATATTAATTTTAAAAAGCAAAAAGAGGGCCAGCAGGCAGCGTGGTAGTCAAGGCACTGGATTCCCACATGGTCAGTTGAGGTTTGAGTCCTGGACCCGGTGGCTTGAAAATCATGCCAGGCATGTATGTGTGCATACCCAAACTCCTGAGAGGAGAATGGAGAAGGGACTGCAGCGTGGCCGTCCCACCTCAGGGGGTGATTTCTCATTTTCCCTCTCTGTCTCTTCCCAATGAGTGGGCACACACTAGGGCAAATATTTAAAAAAAGAAAATTTCAATATTTCTCTTTTTTAACTCAAATATATCCAAAATATTACTATTCTGACATGTCATCAACATAAAAATGATTAATAAAACATTCCACATCGTTTCTTAAATTCTAAGTCTTCAAAATCCCGTGCTTATTTTACATATATAGGACAGTAGACTCCCTTCTCCATTGTAAGACTTCCTGAAGTTTCAGTTACCCACTGTCTATCATGGTTTGAAAACTGTTGGGTATAGTACCGTACAATAAAATATTTTGAGAGAGACAACATTCACATAACTTTTATTAAATTTATTGTTATAATTATTCTATATTATTACTAGTTATTGTTGCTGTACATTTCTTACTGTGTGCCTAATTTATAAATTAAATGATTTTTCTTTTTTCTTTCTTTCTTTCTTTTTTTTTTTTTTTTGCCATAGGGCATATATGCTTGCTGGAGAGATGAAGAGAGACAGACAGAGAGAAAGTGAGAACTCACTCCCCAGAGGGAATGGCCACTCCACAATCTCCCTTCTCCTCATTCTCCTCTCAGGAGTTTGGGCATGCATGCACTCGCACCTGGTGTGATTTTCAAGCCTCTAGAGCCAAGACTCAAACTAAGGTTGGCCACGTGGGAATCCAGTACCTAACCACCACACCACCTTCTGGCCCCTATAAATTAAACTTTATCAATGGCATGTATGTATAGGAAAAACTAGTAGATACAGGACTCAGGACTGTCCTTGGTCCTGGGGGAGGGGGCTGGGTCTTTGAACCTCTGTCCTGTGGGTAAGAGAGGACTACCACACTGAGACTCTCAAGTTGGATGCTAAATTTTTATTGGAAGTACTTGATGTGTATTGAGATGTCATAAAAATATACAGTTGGAAAAATATAGTTACACATCCAACTTATTATGAACTTAAAAGTTTTCCATGAATGGAATTACGTATTGATTTCAAAATTTAATTAAAATTAAATAACATTTAAACTTTAGCTCATCAGTTGCACTGGTCACACATTTCAAGTCTTCGGTTGCCTCATGTGGCTGACTTGTGGCTGCCATGTTGGACAGATGGAGGCACTGATTTGCCACGCAGTTTGCCAACAGCGTGACTGTAAGCAACTTCTTAAACTCTGGACCTTAGTTTTCTCATCTGTCAAATAGGGCTATTATGAGGGGTAAGTGAATTAATGTATGCCAAGTGCTTAAAACGCTTCCTGATACATAGTACCACTCAATAAATGTTAGCCATTATTATTATTTTCATTACTATTATTAATCACAGTATCATTCTCATTGTCACGAAGTCCCTGCTTTGAACCAGGCAGTTTCCACGTGTTATTTTTTGTAGCAAATACTGTAAGTTGCCCACCCAATATCCAATGCCACATGCTCTCCTTTGTTGCTAACCAAATCCTGATTATTTGGGTCTAAGCCAATCATGAGATTTCTGCTTCCTACTTTTCTGCTTGCCTTAGAGCAATGATTGACCAAGGACATGGTTCTGCCCAGTGAGACAAATGCATCAGTTTTATGAAAGATTTCTGGCAACGTTGTTGCTGTCTTGAGCTAAGGAACATATTCAGCTGATGCTGTCCTTCCTCCTCCTTCATCACCTGAAATGATAACTTTTTGGTTCTTGGATCTCCCTAAATCTTCTTTCTTTACGAAAACACATATGAATTCTATTTATGTAGTCATTGGTTGACATAAGAGAATCATTTTACTAATAGTCATACCTTGTCCTTTCATGAACTGTCTGAAGAATTCATCCCAAGAGCCATAGCTCGGAATATCAGGGACATCGTTGTGGAAATGGAAAAAAGATACAGCCGTATCTTTAGGGTTTCGAAATATCACCAATATCTAGGGAGTGGAAAACTGTGTTAATTTAGATAGGTCTGTGTTTTGGACTTTGGAAAAATAGAAGGGCGAGAAATGAATGTCATTGTGTCCATTTGTATATTATGTAATGTCGTTAACATGTGGAGAAACACAGTAAGAAATTGAGTAGCAGAAAGTAGAAAGAAATTGAGTAGCAGGAAGTAGCAGATGGAGAAATCTGAGAAGTAAAAAAGAAAGTAAAAGGAAAGATGATTTTAGCAGAAGACTTTGCTAATGAGCTTAGACAGTAAAAACACATGTGTAGGAGCGAGCAGGTGCCATGGTGGTTAAGGCACTGGAATTCTCACACGACCAACCATAGTTTGAGTCCTGGACCTGGTGGCTTGCTTTTTCTCTCTCTTTCTGTCTCTGTCTTTCTCTGGCAAAACTCATGTGAAATAATAATAAATAAAGTAAATAATTCTAAAAAAATAAAAAAGAATGATTTAAAAACACATGTGTAGAAGATGTAAAGAAGGAAGAAAAAGAACAAGCTCATTTAGCAGTTGGTGTAATGGCTGTCTCTGGACGCCCACGTAGTCGACCGTGATTTGAGTCCCAGACCCGGTGGCTTAAACTCACGCCGGGCACGTGTGCGTGCGTGCCCAAGATCCCGAGAGGAGAATGGAGGAGAAGAGACTGTGGCGTGGCCATCCCCCTTGGGGGGTGATTTCTCGCTTTCTGTCTCTCTGTCTCTGTCTTTCCAGCGAGCACATGCATCCTGTCCTCTGAAAAAGAAAAAAAAAGAACAAGCTCATGAGATTAATCACAAGAGTGGCTGAACCTGAAGGCTTAAGCCCCAGGAAAGTAACAATTGTAAAATAATGTCAAGAACAATCAAACATTGATAAGGCAGGTCCACTGTTTGGTCCCAGATGTGACGTTTAAAGGTGATATAGATGAAGAAGTGGAATTGAATCCCCGGTTATGCCTGTCTTCTCTGATTAGGAATGTATTCCTTCTGATGAAAAGTGTGAAATAAACATAGTAAAGAACAAACTGAAAACCAGGAGAACTTTAAGACTGCAGGAGAGCACATGATTTCTCCCACTGAGTTCCGGCCTCTGGCCTGCTGCTTTATTTCGAGAAGCGATGATTTTGGAGAATCGCTTACTGAACGCATTAGTAAGCTCTGAGGAATCTGAGAGAATGCCTAAGATCTTGGTTAGAAGACTAGAAAAGGCCCAGCAGCCGTGACTCACAGATAGTGACACCACTCAAGAAGCTGGGGCGCTCAGGAGGCCCAGGCTCAGTTTTCTGGCCCACCTGAACATGCTGGGTACAGCTGCCCCTGCCTGTGATGCTAGCTCCCTTGGAGGCTGGGGCAGGAGGGTCGTGACACAGTAAGACCCTGTCAAAAAACCTTTGAAACAGGGTGAAGTCATTTCACAATTATAAAAGGGTAAGATGTGGACTTTGCAAAATACAGATTTGTGATCCTGCTCTCCATTTAGGAGAAGTTTCTAGAACTGACTGAAGAGGTGATTCATTTGGGGTTACATAAGGGAGCAGTGAACAAGGGTCTAAGAACAAACTACTCTGACTAACACTAGGGTTTCTGTTGGGATGTGCTTTCTAGATTAATGAGTTGAATTGTTTATGATTTCTTCTGCAAAAGATGCAAGTATCTAATTGCAAGAGTAATTAGGCATATGAATTGACAGGGCACTTAGGTCTAAAAGGGGCTAAACAATTAATTAATGTAAATCTCCTTGGAAGCCTTTTATTTGTAAAGTGTCCTACATTTTATTTATGTTTATTTAAAAATATTACCAGAAAGGTCGTGTGCTTGCCAGAGAGAGAAAGAGAGAAAGTACCACACATCTGTGGTATGGCCATGCCACGATTCTCTCTCCTCCACTTCTACATCCCATCAGGACTTGAGGCATGCACATATGCACACCCAGAGTGTTTTTTTTTTTTTTTTTTT